CCAAACCGACTGAATGCCCACCCCTATCCACATCAATGTAATTGCAAGACCAATTACATATGGGGTTGTTTAGATGAATACTTTGGTTCTGAAGGATTTACCCGGTATTTCTTATAAGGGTGGTTCAGATAAGGTTTTTATGTGAGATTTCACCCAAATTGCTCTTCATGACGGATTTCACTCACTTCCTTTGTTTGGGAAGATACTAAAAAAATGAGTGATTTGAAACTTGTAAAATTTTGAAAACCTTCATTTGTAGGATTTAAAAATAGTTGTTAGGGATAAGCTATTTTGAAATCTCTGATTAATACTTTTTCTCCCCTTTACAGATTTTAATCCATCTCATCTAGTGGGTTCTGCCTTCCCTACCTTTCTGATCCACCAATAATTTTCACTATCCATAATTATTTCATGCACAATTCCCCTCTGCAATCTGAAAATCAAAATTGAAAAGTTTTCTTGAGCAAGGGCAACTTCTTTTATTAAGATGCCTTTCTCCTGCTATTGAGATTAATATCCCTTTCCGGCATTAGTCCTTCCTCTTATTCTTTCCTTTACGAAGGTGAAGAGCACCTTCCTAGAACACCTCACAATCGTTGGTAAGCCCATGTACTTCTCATGCTTCGATACCTCTCTAATTCATGGTCTAGTACTGATCTACTATCTTTATTGCGGTAAGATGTTTTGACGGAAGGTTGGCTCCGATTTGGTTAGATTAATCATTTACCTCTACTCAGTTTCATAATCCTGCAAAATTTTCTTTAGTTTGTCGATTGTCCTAGCATGTATGATGTTATCATTTGTAAATGGGAGACGAGATATAACTAGGGCATTCTTTCTTATGGCCATACCATGAATGTTCCCCTGTCATAGACCCATGGTAGGGAAGAAAGTTTATTATGACCATTTACCATCCACACAATCACATGCTTTCTCCATGTCAAGCTTTGCCGTAAAGTAACCTTTCTTCCATTTTTCCTATGCTTCATTGTTGTGAAGCATTTAAAAGTAGCAATGTTGTCATCAAAGATAGATCACGAGGAATGAAGGCACTTTGGGTTTCCAATAGTCATCTGCTTACGATCAACTTCATTATGTTCGTCAATATCTTCAGAGGAGTTTGTTGAGAAAGCTGCAAAGACTGATTGGTCTGTAATCCTTGGGAGAATCGAGGCCATTAATCTTTGGTACCAACTTTATGAGAATATGATTGGGCTCTGTTGGTAGGCTCCCAGTCTCTAAAAAACTCAAAAGATCATTTGAAACTCACAGTTTAAGGATATCCCACTTATCCTTATAAAAAAGAGTTGGGAATCCATCATCACTTGGGATTTTTAGCGAACTGATCTTACGTAAAGTTTAAGTCGACTTCCTAAGCGGTGAAAGGTTGGGAGAGCCGAGCCAATCATTCATATCAATAGAGATTTTGGGTTTCATTGCATCATTATCATCTTTCCCGAATCCCATTGACCGCTAAACAAAATCTAGAAGTACTACACAATTCGTTGCTAACCTCTTGTTGTCCGAGAAAAATATGTCATTGCTAGCGCTGGAGTTTCTTTATGGTATTTTTCATTCGTCTTTTTGTCGCTCTGCACTGGAACAACTTGGTGTTCCTATCACCCTCTCAAAGGCAATCGATTCGAGCTCATTACTGCCACCATTTTTCTTCAATCAAAGGAATCTCGAATTTTTAGTGTTTAGTCTTCGTACTACCCAGTCATCGAGCCTTGGCTGAAAATCTAGAGTATTGAGATCCTTTTGGATCTGTTTGAGCTTTTTTCCAACTTTCCAAACAGATCTCTGCTCCATCCATGTAATAGACGTCATTGGATTGCTCCAAGGTTGTCAACTCGGTTTATACCATCATGCTGATTTTGCAAGTGATATGGTCTGACTGGTGGTACAACCAGTTTATGTCAGATCATGTCGTTTTAGCAAAACATGTAGGAAAGTGAGAAATAACTAACACTAAATGGATTTAGCCATATATATGACATATGTGAATACAATCTCTCTAAAATATACATCTATATTTAAATAAAATACAATATTCCAAATAAAATGAGAAATATTCATATTAAATACAACATAATGCAAAAGTAAAAAAATGTATACTTGAATCCAACAAACAAAATCAACATCTAAACATTTATACTTAAATCCAACAAATATCATTAACACTTAACTTTCATATGAAAGAAACAAAACAATTTTTTGTGTTAATTAAATCATTATAACGACGTCATTTTGTGTAAAGGTCAAAAATTGATCATGTCAATCATAACAAAAATATTCCAACCGATTTTATAACCAAATGACAACCATGAATCGCTCACCGTACATATTTTTATATAATGAAATCAAATCAATAAAATTAGCAACAAAATATACCACTTAATACAACTATTGAGAATCTGCTAAAGGATTATTCAATAGCATCAACATTCAACACACAGTAACCACATTTTTTTTTTGCATTTGAAGGAGGCCGAGGACAAACAGAAGGAGGAGATTACATAAGAGAAGGGGATTGCGTCACAATCCGACGCTCAAGGGAGATGCCCATACTATCCTCTCTAAGAATGGGAACCAAAGCAGGAGGAGGTTCGAGAAGTTCATGCATTCCAGTGGGATAGACGAGACTGTGCTTCGAGAGCCAGTCCGCGGCTCTATTCCCTTCCCTGTAGACATGACCCAAGCGAACCAACCAATCCTGAGCTAAGAGCCTCCGGATCGAGGCCGGGAGCAAAGCATAGGGGTGCACCGGATCATGACGATCGTTGATCAAGTTGATGGCCAACTGAGAGTCCGACTCAACATTAAAGAATGCGCATCCTACTTTCCGGGCCAGCTGAAGCCCATACAGGATAGCCCAGAGCTCGGCAAGGGCCGTCGAAAGTTCTCCAATCTTGGCCACGAAGCCCGCAACCCACTTCCCAAACTCATCCCGGATGATGCCACCAGCTCCTGCAAGACCCGGATTGCCCGTCGAGGCTCCATCCACATTCAGCTTAAGCCACCCGCTGCGAGGAAATCACCAGTGAATGTGCACCATCGATCTCTCCGGCCTGGGACCTGCTTGCCCAAGGTAATGGTAGGCGCCTTCCAAGCTTTGTGCCAGATGACAGCCTTCTGCTGGAAGGAGTGTGCTAAAGAAGGAGCAGAAAGTGCCATATGCAGCCCTTTGAAACAACCTGTGCACCTGTTCTTCCAAATCAGCCAAATAACAGTGCTAAAAAAAGCATTCCACTGCATACCAGATTCCATTGTGTCGTCCTTGAGAATGTTTACTTGGAACCACTCTTCCTGACTACTCTGAAAGAAAATCTGCTGATCGGCTTGAGGAATCCATCTCAACCAGCAGAATCTAGCTGGATAGCAGTCTCGCAAGAGATGAGTAATAGATTCTTGGACATTCCCACACCGCTGATACATGGGGGAGGCTGCACATCTCCTGGAGAAGCGAAGGACGTTAGTGGCAATCCGTCCATGCGCCACAAGCCAAGTGAAGCATCTGATCCTCTCTGCAACCTGGAGCTTCCATATAGTCTTCCACATCTTCTCATTAGGATCATTCCTCGGTGGGTAGGCCAGCTGATACACCGTATTAGTCGTGAAGTGTCCTGTTGAGGAGGCCATCTAGAAAAGGGTGTCCTCTTCCTGCGTCAAAGGATATGCAAAACTGGCTGTGATCTTATGGAGCACTTCAGGCGGAAGCCAGTCCTCCAAACGATTGATGTCCCAATGACCATCCTTATCTAGGTAGGCTGCAACGAGATCGTCCATCATCTCCTCCGGAATTGGTTGAAGCGCCAGCTCGACCAGAGGTTCCTGCAACAACCAGAGATCACGCCAAAATTTAGTGCCTCTTCCATTGTGAATATTCCACCACAACCCTTCTGTAAAAGGGTGGAAGCCTTTGTAAAGTTCTTCAAGTGAAGGAACTTCCCTTTATTGGCCGCAGGATATCCACAGTAACCACATTTGTGTATCATAAAAGTAGGGGTGTTCAAACGGTTTGGTTACCGTGGTAACCGTTTTAACCGGTACTATTTGGATAATTTGGTTTGGTTAATTTAGATGATTGGTTTGGTTTGGTTAAAGTTTTTAGCTTGTTTGGTTTAGGTGGTTTGGTTTCAGACACTCCGAACCAGTCAAACCAAATTAACCAGTTAAGTAATTAGTCATATATCTAACATATATTATATACACATACTTAATACTTTGCATAACCACTCAAGAGTTAACGTTTATCCCTTTTAGACTCATAAAATATAAAGCTCAATATTGCTCATACAGTGTATATTTGTATATGTAAAGTGTAGATCACAACATATGGACGCCTAATTTAGATAATTTCATACATTATGATTGATGAAAACTTGAAAGGAATGTCATTTCCAGCATATGATAATTGCTAAGAGACTAAGTCAATTTACACAAACACAACAATTCATTAACCCATACCATTGTCATAAATTTTTGTTAGGTGAATACTTTTATACTAATCGTAAGATAATTGTCTTAGTTGCATGTATTTTTGTTAATGGTCAACTATAACTACGTGTTGATTGTTATGTTTTATTCATTATATAAATTGCGAATTGTTGCATTAACCGGAAAAATTTTCATCGTCAATGATAATGTGATTTTATATTGGTTAATCTGGTTAACCAATTAACCAAACCGATTAAACTTTAGTTTGGTTAATTTGGTTGTTGTATTAGTTTGGACGGTTTGGTTATTATATTGTATTCCATGATTAATGGATTTTAGCCTTATTTGATTTGGTTATAACAATGGTAACCATTTGAACACCCTACATAAAATTATACTTATCGTCATACCATTAATAACATAAAATTATTTGTAATGAAACATTACGATTTCCGATCCAAGTGTGAAATTTGGTCAACATGATAGTCAAATTCGAGAATTGTGTTAATAAAAATATTTAAAGAAACCAAAAAATTTAAACGTCACCCGAGGAAAACAGAAGAAAACGGAAAAAGAGAAGGCCTGTGCAGCACCAAACATACTGCAGTGAAAGAGTGAAAGCCAAACCATTTTTATCTCTCTCTCTCTTCTTCCCTCCGTCAACAGCCACCCAGTCAGTCTTCACCATTCCGTTGCCTCTGCTGTTTATCCGCAAAATTCCATTCTCAACCTCCAAGCTCTTGGACTAAATTCATTGCCAGCCCCGTGGCTACACACGTAGCTCTGTTGCTTGTTTGGACCTCAGTTCAGTAATGGAGGAGGTCCTGGCTCCGACTTGTCGGCGGCCTGGAGCTATAATCCTTTTCACCATGGTTTCTTCTGCCCCACTGGATCCTCTTTCCTCTTCTCCCTGCTGCTGCTGCTGCTTCCGCGCCAATGAGCTACGTTTCTAGACTCTAGTCACCATCTCCTGCAGCTATTTTGCTCGGCCGATCTCGCCGTCGGTGGCTTCTGCGTTTCCCGCATACTCAGATCTGGGTTTTCAGCTTGGTCGCCGTGAAGTTTCACCTGTCGTCGCCGGCGATGACGGTACCTCCTGCCGCAGTGGCAGCTTCAATTAATGTCCCCACTGGTAAAATTTTCAGTCTCTTGCACATTCTCCCAATTCGCCTCATTCTTAACTTGTGGTTGCTTTTTATGGATGCTTCCAAGCTCGTGGTTCGCAAAATGAGATGTAGTAGGCTAATAGCTTAGCTTCTCTTCTCGGGTCCGAAAACGAAAATGGCTACAATGAGGACACACACTAACTACCGTGTTAGGCAAATTCTTAGCAACTTTATAAATTGCCTGTTTAGGAGCTAAGCTAAGAAGCTTTTGCCCCTCTGGTTTGGGTTGATTGTGATGAGTTAGACAGTTACGTTTCATTGATAATGCCCTTATATTTCGGTTCTGTTTGGTTTTCTGTTTTCATGGATCTTGGCCTTGGCTTGATTGGTAGTTTTGAAGCTTTTCGCTGTGAATTTGCGCAGCAGGAACACCGAGAAGGCTGTGGAGGAATCTTTTTGTGGTCTTGGGTTACGTTATTCTCATGGCTGATGTGAATTCAGCTGGTGTTAAGGCCGAAGAGCGATTCTTGTCTCCAATTGAGGCGCCTATGTTAGGGCCACCTGTTTCAGATATGCCCTTGCCATCAGTAACAGCGCCCAAGTTCCAGAAACCTCACAGAAAACATTTCTCACCACTTGGTTCACCACCATCAGTGGTTGCTGCCCCTGCTAGCCCTCCTAATTATGATCCATTGGTAACTTCAGCTCACCCACCAACTAGCTCGAGCTTGTCTAAACCATCAATGAAGAAGAGTGCGTCATCACCTCCTGGTGTTGGATTGATTGTTCTTGCCCCACTCCAGTCCGATCCTGGCGACAGTCTTTCTGGTTTAGCTCACCCTCCTCTTTCTCCAGATGTTTCTGGTAAGATCATCCCCTGGGTTTTCGCTTCCTCCATTTTGTTTTCCCCCCTCCATTTGTTAATGACTACTTCAGTGATTGTTGAAAATTGGAAGTTCACTTCAGTACACTGTGATGAAGCGAGTGACATGGCTATGCATATCGTACTTTATTGACTTCCGAATATAAATTCATATGATGATGTACTTATATTATCTACATGCTGCCAGATTGTTGTGGACCAGAGTTGGTGTTGAAGCGAGGTAGTCATGGCTGCCACTGCGTGTATCCAATAAAGCTGGACCTTCTTCTCTCGAATGTCTCACAAAATCATAACTGGGACATGTTCCTTCAGGAGTTAGCTTCTGAGCTGGGTTTGCTGGTTTCTCAGATTGAGCTGATCAACTTCTATTTTCTCAGCTTATCGAGATTAAACATTTCAATGGACATTATTCCTCACAGTGGAGTCAGTTTTTCTGCCAGTGATGCATCGAAAATAAACACATCCCTTTACTTGCATAAAGTTAACTTTGACCCTACCCTTGTTGGTGATTACAAGCTCCTCAATCTTACTTGGTTTGAACCACCACCGCCTAGCCCAGGTAAAGCATTCAATTACTGTTGTTGCTTCTAAGAATCTCAGTAGGAGGTTTTATGTCTATCTGCAATACCCTGATAGTTCATTTGTAGATTGATTTTCGTAAAGCATTCAGACTATGGTTTCACTTTGAATATTTGATCAAATCTCTATTCCTGTTTCTCTCTGACTATATATATCATCTCATCATTTTTGCTATGCAGCTCCGGTTGCCACTTCATCACCAATGCAAGCACCAGTACATCCATCTTCAAATTCTACATCAGCAAGTGTTTCAAATAGAACCAAGCATTCGTATACACTTTTAATACTCGTTGTTGTTGGTGCTGCTATCTTGATGATCACCATTATATCTACGGTTTTAGTTTGTTCATGTGTGTCACGTGGGAGGAGAACTGAACCACCTCTAAAAGAACCTGGTACGTGTTTAAATGTTGATGCATTTCATTTATGATTCTCGTTTTAAAAAGCAGAACTTAGCTGTTTCAGATAACAGTTGGAAGAAAGTTTTGCAATTTTCAGATAGGTTTGGAAGAAAGTCAAGAACTTAAAATAGAATCATATCAATCTTTATCTCAGTATTTACATATTTTACTTCCGCGAGTTGAAGGGAATGAGTTAGAGCACATCTTAGTTTCCAAATAAATAGTTTCTGCTAGCTTGATTACCAATATGAACAGCTTGTTATGCACCATGAATGGTGTACAGGGCTTTACTCCTTAACGTTGCAGATTTACCAAAGCAATCTTAAGTCTGCTAGCTTGATTACCAATAAATAGCCTCTGTATCATATTCCTTCTCTACCTTGTTTTCTTTCAGAAAAGCCAAGGACCATAGATACGGCACCTGTAGCAGGATCTGTCCCACATCCTTCTAGTACACGTTTCCTGGCTTATGAAGAACTTAGAGAAGCAACCGGGAACTTTGCACCAGCTAGCATACTTGGAGAAGGTGGGTTTGGTAAAGTTTTCAAGGGTGTCTTGAGTGATGGTACTGCTGTTGCAATTAAGAGGCTCACCAGTGGAGGCCAACAAGGGGGTAAAGAATTCTTAGTGGAGGTTGAGATGCTTAGTAGATTGCATCACCGTAATCTTGTCAAACTTGTTGGATACTATAGTAGTCGTGACTCTTCACAGAACCTACTTTGTTATGAGCTTGTTCCAAATGGGAGCTTAGAGTCCTGGCTGCATGGTAATTTACTTTCACTACATCTCAATTACTGCTCTGTGTAATTTCATGGCTCACAACCTCATGTTGGTTCTTTCCCTAAGGTCCTCTAGGTGTTAATTGTCCTCTGGATTGGGACACCAGAATGAAGATTGCTCTGGATGCTGCCCGAGGGCTTGCTTACCTGCATGAGGACTCCCAGCCAAGTGTTATCCACAGGGATTTTAAGGCATCCAACATTCTGCTTGAAAACAATTTCCATGCTAAAGTTGCAGATTTTGGACTTGCCAAACAGGCGCCCGAAGGCAGAGTAAATTATCTCTCCACGAGAGTGATGGGAACATTTGGGTTAGTTTTGGCTCTTCTTTGTTCTAAGACCACTCCTATTGTGTGTTTGTAGTTCTAAACATTTATTCTTATTTCAGATGACAAAGTTGAATATGAATTTTTGGGGTTTTAACACTCAATAGTTTGTCTTAGAAGTTAGATGGAACATGTGGTGTATGTTTCAACTTGTAAGGACATATTTCATAGCCGAGACAAATCCATTCTCATTTTGAATTGTTGGAATCTGAATGAATTTTCCTCCCTTTTTGCAGATATGTAGCGCCAGAGTATGCTATGACCGGACATCTACTGGTAAAAAGCGATGTATACAGCTATGGAGTTGTGCTGCTCGAGTTGCTCACTGGGAGGAAGCCTGTAGATATGTCGCAGCCATCTGGACAGGAAAACCTCGTGACTTGGGTTAGTTGCATTTCAATTGTCTCAATACACAGGATCGTCAATTACGGAGGATAATAATTAATAACACAGTCCCATTGATTTCAGACAAGACCAATTCTTCGCGACAAAGACCGACTAGAAGAGCTGGTGGATCCAAGGCTCGGAGGGAAGTACCCAAAGGACGACTTTCTCCGAGTCTGCACAATAGCAGCAGCTTGCGTCGCCCCAGAGGCGAATCAACGACCCACCATGGGCGAAGTGGTGCAGTCACTGAAAATGGTGCAGCGAGTGACGGAGTATCAAGACGCCCCTCCGCCTGTGGCATCGAGTGCCAGGCCGAACATGAGACAGTCGTCCACCACATTTGACTCCGACGGGACATCTTCCATGTTCTCATCGGGTCCTTTCTCTGGGATGAGCACGTTCGAGAATGATAACTTCTCGCGCACTGCGGCTTTCTCGGAAGATCTTCATGAAGGACGGTGAGCTCTTGGAATGGGTTTTAGTAGTTTAGGAATTTTTGCTTGCGAATGGAGACAGACGGTAGATGGGCTCTTGATTGTGCGTGCTGGAGAATGGTGGAGGGGAAGCAACCACTGGGAAGTCACTATGGCTCGTGGGAGTGGTGGGGTAATAGTGGAAGGCAGTGGTTTTGCTCTCTTCCTTGGTTGTGAGAATTTTGTAAATATGGCTTCCTTGTTGTAGCTTGTACTATTCGATTGGACTTCAAATGGATTTCCCCCATTTATGTGCTCTCTTCATGTTCATTTGATTTCTTTCTTTTGTATATTTGGCGGACTTATGTTGTTGGACAGAGCTGCTACAGAGCTGAGTGGAGTTGAGCTTCAGAATGTTCAAATTTAAGTTGTCCATTTATTCTCTAAACTAAGCAGTTTTGTCCTAATGGCATACTTGAGTCAAATGCGATGCTTGAACCCGTTAACTTGACGATTACTTGAAGCTAATTATTGACAAATTGGTAGTAGTTTGAGTTTAGAGTAGGAGTGGATGCATGTAAGAAACCCGCTTTATTTGGGGCAATAGATAAGGATTGAAAAGAGATTAAGAAGAGAATTTAGGATTACGGATTGTGAATTGAAAATAATCGGGGTGAAAATTAGGAAAGAATTGAAAGAATAATATTCTTTGTTTAATAGAAAAATAGACTATCCAATGATTAAATAGTACCCAAAACAAGATAAAAGATCCAAAAAAACATAAGTAGGAGCGAGCCCTCATCTAACTCAATCTGTCAACTAGTGGATTTCTAACAATTCTCCCTTTCGAAAGACCGACCTTGGTCAACTAGTATATTTCTAACCATTCTCCCTTTCGAATGACCAACCTTGCCCTCAAAGGTCGAATGCTGGATAATTCTGACGGATAGTCTTTGTGTCCTCCCAAGTGGCGTTGTCAGCATCCATTTGCTGCCAACAAACCAGACTCTCTTCCAGACTTCCACCAACTTCCCTCTTCGTCTAACCCTCATGGTCTCCAATACCTTATACCTCCATCTGCGTCAACTCCAGTCGTCCGTTTTCATCAACCGATTAACTTGGTGGTGCTTTTTGGCGTCTCGGTGCCCTAGTACCAGCGTAGCAGCAAAAGATGGGACGTCGAGTGCATGCGAGGTATCACATGTAGTAATAACATGTTCACCACCTGAGCAACTCGCTCTAACAACTGGTAAGGTCCAAAGTAGCAAACTACTAGCTTCTGATAAGCTCTCCTGAACACTGAGGTATGCCGGTACGAATTTAGCTGAAGTAGCACCCACTCACCAATTGCAAACACCTCTTTGCGGCTGCCCGAAATCTTCCAGCTGCTTCATTCGGATGTTCGAGCATGCCGAATTCCCCCTCGGCTGCTTTAGTGCCTCATCCTAAGCAGACATCTAGCGATCCACGACATCTATAATATTGGTGTCACCCGGTACTCACCAAAATCGGCTGAGTCCACCCATACAATGCCTCAAAAGGGGCCATATGAATCGCCCGTTGGTATGTGGTGTTGTACCACAATTTAGCCCATGGTAGTGAAACACCTCAGATACTGCTCCAGGTGCTTGTTGACCACCTTCGTTGTCCGTCAGACTGTGGATGGTTAGTCAAACTTATCTCAACTCCGTATTGGCCAAGGCAAACAGTTCTTGCCAAAACTTCCCCAAGAACATTGCATCTCGATCATTAACAATGAATCACGAAAAATCGTGATGTCTGATGACGCCCCAAACGAACTGCTCTGTTATAGTCTTGGTCGTGTATGGATGGGCCAGAGCCATGAAGTGAGGATACTTGGTGAGTGGATCCACTACTACCAGCAAAATTATCTTGCCGCCAGATGGTGGTAAACCCACTATGAAGTCTATGCTAATGCATTCTCACACCCTCTCCGCTACTGGCAACATCTGCAGAATCCCGCAAGTCGTAGTAGAGACGACTTAACACATTGGCAGGTGTAACAGGAAGCCACTTAGGACTTCACTTCGTGATTCATTCCCGACCAATAGAACTATTCTCTGATCTTCCTCAAAGTCCGCACGCGCACTAAATGTCCTCCCACTAGTGAGTCATGGTACTCTTGCATCACCGTCGTGGCCAAGGATGACCCCGCAGGCAGCACGATCCGCCCCTGGTAACCCCACAATGATGCAGATGATGCTATTCTTGAGGATGATGACGATGGCAAGTTCGATATCCTGAAACGGTGGTCCTGAAGCATCATTAGATATCCCATCATTTCTGAAATGGTGAAGACTATTTTAGCTATTTCAGTTTCTTCTGTTGCCTCCGAGTCTGCTTTAAGTATAGAAGGTTAGTTTCTATCCTCATTAGGTCCTCTTTGACCCCTAAAATTGCGGAGGCATTAATTTGTGCGAAAGATTAGATACGGTTCCCCGATTCCCAATTGATTGATGAAAAAGAGGATCTCGGAAGAGCTAATAGTTTTGAAAGTGATACTATCTCTTCTATTTTTGCACTCTACCTATCTCAATTTCTGAATGACCATTTGCTAACACTTTAATTAATTGTTGTTTTTGCATGTAGTTTATAATACTATACAAGCTTAGAATGAAGAGGCGAAGTGAGAGTGATAACAATGGCCAAAACCAAAGCTTTTCTGTTGATCCTAGCCCCACAATTGATGTTGAAGGTGTTGATTATGATTCTGATGTCACTCCTACCAAGTAGAAAGAAAATCTTAATATTGAGGTTGATTATGAGCATAGAATTTTGAGCGATTCAAGGATGTTTAAAATTTAGGTTGTTGATTTGAATTTGGAAGTCAAATGTTTGGAATTCTTCTTGTTTGTGTGAACTTTTGGTTTATTTAGTGTCCCCTTTAGTATTATGAACTAATGAGTTATGTTTGTACAGGGACAATTGGTGTTCTAGATGAGAATGTACGTTAGATCTTTATGTTTTATTGTTTAAAATTTTTTACAAGCACCATATACATATATGTAATGGACAAGCAACAATAGTAGACGTGCAATGTAGATGCAACGGTGTACGTGGGTGTTGGGCCGTGTTTGGGCCGACACGGCATGGGCACTCTTCCGCCCCATTTATTTCGTGCCGTGCCAAAAAAGCCTATTTGTTAATTTTGCTAGGCCCGGTCCAGGCCCGAGTACAGCTAGAATCGTGTCGTGCCTATTCGTGATCGTATCGTGCTCATATTCGTATCTAATTTAAAGGAAGATAATAAAAGAGAGAACGAAAAAGAAGGTGAAAAATTGGACGGAGAAAGATAGTATTAACCGAGAATGTTTGAGAAAAGTAACAAATAAGTGGGAAAAGAAAATTGGAAATATAGCGGGTGTGATTTGACTTTGTTAATTTTTCGTCCATTTTTACTTATGGTAGTTATTACGTATATATCTTTATGAAACTTCTAGCAACAACAAATAATTATTTTTCTACTTGTATTTGTAATATTTGAACCTACAATTCTTTCTATATTTATTTTCTATCAAATAAATGTTATTTTTGTGCCATTTTAGTTCTTATACTCAATAAAATGTCAAATATATTAGGCCCAACACGGCCCATTTATATACCGTGTCGTGCCCGTGCCCATAAATTATTCGTGCTCGTGTCGGGCTGGCCCATTTATTTTGTGCCTGTGCTCGTGTCGTGCTCTAATCGTACCGTGCGTGCTAGCCCGTGGGCGGCCCGGCCCGGTGCCCACGTACATGCAAGGGACAACAAGCAGCATGTTCAATCACGTTACAGTTTGTTTACGTTGAGGTTCGGTTCGGATTTTAACTGATATCTGTTGTGGCAAGGGCAACTCTCAATTCTCAGCTAATCGATTAAATTAACCACATTTAAACGACCTTGGTGTCAACTAAGTGACACGAGCATTAGTCTTGGTGTCGCTCTACGGTCTCAACCCATTTTCAGTTGCGATTAATCGAATGATCGGTTCGGTTAAATTGTAATGAACCATTTACCAGTCCTTCCTATTATCACTTTAATGATAATCATTTTTCATATTTGAAAAGTTAAGTGGTATATAGTGTATTTCTATCGAGTTGTTAAACATCTACCAGCTGACCAGTTGGATCAGGTCCCACCAAAGTCGGGCTCATAAAAGATATTTTGAAAGTCAGTGGTCATGACTCCTAGAGAGGGAGAAGAAGAGCGAAAAAGTTAAACTACTCACAAGGTAAGTTGTGAGTAGATACTTATAGAGACAACATAGAAAAGGGTAAAGAAAAAGGAGAAGGGATGACCCATTAAATTCTCAACCACCGTTAAGTCTCTAACCCTCTTTCTCTCTCTCATTTCTTTTTTTATAATGGATATTGGTCAGTGATGGATTGTTTTTTCATGTACTGATATTAGTATGTGATGATAGGATATAATGATGTTCATGCGATGGATATTAGTTTGCGAAGTAATGGATATTGTGTCTTCCATCAAAACTAAGTACGCTATCAAATCCTAACGCATAAGGCTTGTAACCTTAGTTAGGGCTGCCCGCCGAGGGCCCATGGGCTTTTGGCCCATGAAACAATAATATTTGTTTGCAATGAATGGAGATTAGTTTAGGTGGTTCGGATATGTGTAGTTGGTATTAGTCTGCGATGGTCAGATATTAAGTTGTTCGTCGTGGGTATTTGTCTGCGATGGTCAGATATTAATCTATTCGTCGTTGGTATTTGTCTGCGATTGTAAGATATTAGTCTGTGTGAGGTGGGTATTAGTCTCTATGGTGAGGATATTAATTATGGGCTGACTAGATATTGGTCTTAGAGGATATTTGTTATGGTGAACGGATATTATTCTGGATGGTTTGGATATTTGTTTTGTGTGTATGTGTTATTCTGACGATGTGATGGAAAGAGAGGAGGAGACTTGCATATGATTTTTTTTTTAATTTGTGGGCCCCTTTTCTCTGTAACTGGATAGTGAGAATGGACAGCAGTAACAGTTTTCTTTCCGGGCAAAGCTTTTTCTGGATGGCCGTCGTCGATGTCAGATTCACTGAGGGTCTGTCGCCGATCTTGACTGCTCTCGAGGTGTTGGATCACTCGATCCGTTTGGTTTTGGAGGTGGCCCAGCATTTGGGAGAGAACATGGTCAGGACCATTGCTATGGATGGTACTGAAGGCTTGGTCAGAGGCCAGCGTGTCCTCAACACTGGCTCTCCCATCACTGATTTTCTCTTAACGCCATTTGAAATATAGGGATCGTGTAGTGCCTGTTTCTCAGATCTAGGGATTCCGTTTTTTCATTCAGTTCCTGGAAATCGGGGGAAATGAACTCTGTTGTACGTGGATTACAGTAACCCACTGATATACCAGTGGCGCAAAAAATCCATTGGAGAGAGACAACGTTTTCTCCCCCGACTGGCAATACCGGAAGGTGAGCCTGAAGTCTGGCTTCCGACTCCAACCCTGTTTTGATTTACTCCTAACTATCGCCGGTAATTACCAGGTGGTCGGCAGCGATCGGTCACGACTGCTTGCATTAGAGCCCCTGTTCTCTGGAATTAATGCCCTCTGTTTAAATCTTAAAAACAAGGTTAATTACCCTATAACGGCTGGTGCCGGATTGGCCATGAATGAGCCTTTAATTTCTCATATATTTATGATAGTAATGAACTGGTTTCCGTTTAAAGTGAGAGTGCCCACTCTTTAGGTCTTTTACTAAGCCATCAAGGCTTATAATTAACCCAAGAATAGTGAATTAATTAATAAATTAATAGCGAGTTTAATTCTCTCCAAGAATAATTAACCTTTTAAGTCTAATCTTTGGACATTTATTGGAGGGTTTATTGGAGATTTTTAATGAGCTTTATTAGCTCACAGGTAACAGGCTATATTAGCTCATTGGTAACGGGCTACTTATCCTTGGATTGTGAGTACCCGATGTTGTTTCAAAGACGTATACAACTGCAATGCTTGACTTCACTGAATTGCGTCTCTTTCATCCTACTAGAAAAGAATTGTTTTGAAAACAAAAATTGGGAACCAATTGGCTATGAGAAGGTGACTAAAATACTACCTATTTCTATCTCGTTAATTAAATTAAATGTCAAAGCAATATAATTTAAAGGATGCTAGAGGTAATTGTTGTACCACCGAACCGTAGAAACTAAACATTGTCTCAAAGTCGTACTTCCCACGGTAGTGGCCCTTCAAACTCGTGGAGTCAACTGTCTCAACCGATGCCCTATATGCTGGAGACATTGAGAAAGCATTGAACATTTATTCTTCAGATGCGCCCTAACCACCAGATTGTGGACTTTAGTGGGATTGAGCAACTTTATTGAGACCGCCCAGACTATTAACTTTAGTCTATGGTGGCGACTTGTCATGGTCTCCGAGACATCTCCATTCCACATTCTCCAATGCGTCTGTTTACTTTGGAGAATATGGAAGTCTAGAAATAAAGTGACCTTCGAATTTATCCAACCCATGTATGTTCCCTATTCAGACAGTTCTACAATCAGGTCCTCGAATTCTCCAATCTTCTTCTTCCTCCTCCGCCCCGCAGCTCTCTAATCCCAAATCATCTTGCCACCACTTGGGTCCCTCCACCAGAAGACTTTTTGAAGTTCAACGTCGACGCAACTATTTTTGCCACCGATTGTTCATCTAGGCTTGTTATCCGTGGGTCAGACGGGCATGTGGTGTTGGCGCTCGGGCTGCAGCATCAAGGAATAGTCAATCCTTATCTGGCATAGCTTCTAGCATTTAGAGACGCCATCTCCATCGTAGCCTCAAGATCCTTGACCAACGTGATAGTCGAAGGTGATTCCGAAATGGTGATCAACCAAGTCCGTCAAGGCGTCATTGAAGACTCGATTGGTGGTCCGGTGTTACGAGAGTGTCTTTAGATCCTTAACTCTTTGTCTGTTTGTATAGAGTTTAGGGCGGTACCTAGATCCGCCAACAGTGCTGCCCATAGAGTGGCGCGTAAAGCACTGCTTTTGTCTCGAGTAGAGCTAGATTCTTTTGATTTTTTTGGGGTGGCTTCTTTAGAATCTGTTAGGGGTCCTGAGTAGAATTGTAAGTTTAACTATTTTCTTCCATTGATATCACTCAGAAATAAAAAAAAAACTGGATAGTAAGAATGGGCCAGACTTTTTTTAATTTTTGGGCCCCTTTTTTCTGTCTCTGTAAGTATATACTCACAACTTATCTTGTGAGTAGTTTAACTAGGTTGGAAGAAGAGAGGGAAAAGGTGGGGTGAGAGGGAAGTAATATGGTAGGTGGGTCATGGGTTTAGGTAAGTTTTTTTATGCGAGATTTTTTAATAGAACATATAAAGTAAAATTCAGTCATTAAAATTTTAAATTGCTACATTGTTTGTATTTATATCCTCCAATAATATATAGTAGAGTTTTGTCTACTTTTCTCTATTTCAAATTTCCTGCAACGAGAGTGAAAGTAGGAAAGACATTTTTGTCTTTACAATTTATTATATATTCTATATAAAAAATGTTAATATCAAGATTTGAACCTGGGTCTCTTAAAGTAAAGACAACAATCACAACCAATTACACTAAATAAATTTATTGTTTATTTTTTAATACAAAACATACTCGAAGTGAAAATTTGAAAATCGAAGGACTTTTCCATCATAATTAGCAAGCCCAGTAAGTCTACCGTATGTATTTTTATGATGTTTGATACTGCAATTTTCATAGCAGAGTTTAGTGTAGTTTTCTCAATTCTATAATTACTGCTCCCTCCTTAATTGTTGATAAAAGTGAATTGGTAATTGGCAAACATGGAATAAACTAATTCTATTTCTACGTGTTGTATCTTTGCATTTTCTTCATTTGTATTTAAATTATTACTTTTTTATCTGTGTTCTTACCTCTTTCTAACTTTCTCCGAAATTCTCTCCATCATGCAATAGTTTGCGCCCCTTTCACTTTACAGTATAAGGCCGCCTTTGAAAATCAATCTTCTGGTATCTCTTGGCACTACGATTTTATTGTTGGGGATTTAAACTGGGCAAGTAGAAGATTTCAACTCTGATATCAATCCATGGCGAATAGAATGAAGTTGCAGATGGAGGACTAGAAATTGGTTTTTTGGTTGAAACATACGCCTCTTAAGATTGAAGACAGAGTGGATAAAAATTTCTCAATCATAAAGAAGTGAACTGAAGATTTAGTTTGAAACTATCTATGGTTCGTGTGGGAATTTCAGTGAACTTTTATACTCTATCTTTCTTGACAATCAACTAACCAATAACATTTTACCGGAATCTTAATTATCATTATGAAAATGGAATCAATGATTTATATTCTTAAATGATGATGATATTTGTCCAAATGTTAGACCTATATATTTTTTCTTTATTTATCATCTCAATTGAAAGATTGTCAATAAAATTAAACGCATTGATAGACTTAAATGTAACATAAAAATATAAATATTCCGGCCAACAAACCAGGTTATAAACTAGTCTAGAAAATGTATAAAACAACTCAAATAAGTCGTGCCTCAGTCAGAGCATTAAATTTGCTTGGCTCAACAAGATTTGACAACTTTGATTGGGAAGTTGTTGAAAGTAGGGGTGTTCAAATGGTTACCATGGTTATAACCAAACCAAATAAGGCTAAATTCCATTAACCATAGAATACAATATCATAACTAAACCATCGTCCAAACTAATACAACAACCAAATTAACCAAACTAAAGTTTAATCGGTTTGGTTAATTGGTTAACCAGATTAACCAATATAAAATCACATTATCATTGATGATGAAAATTTTCTGGTTAATGCTACAATTCGCAATTTATATAATGAATAAAACATAACAATCAACACGTAGTTATAGTTGACGCTTAACAAAAATACATGCAACTAAGACAATTATCTTACAATTAGTATAGAAGTATTCACCTAACAAAAATTTATGACAATGGTATGGGTTAATGAATTGTTGTGTTTGTGTAAATTGACTTGATCTTTTAGCAATTATCATAGGCTGGAAATGACCTTCCTTTCAAGTTTTCATCCATCATAATGTATGAAATTTATCTAAATTAGATGTCCATATGTTGTGGTCTACACTTTACATATACAAATATACACTATATGAGCAATATTGAGTTTTATATTTTATGAGTCTAAAAGGGATGAACGTTAACTCTTGAGTGGTTATGCAAAGTATTAAGTATGTGTATATAATATATGTTAGATATATGACTAATTAATTAACTGGTTAATTTGGTTTGACTGGTTAGGAATGTCTGAAACCAAACCAAACCACCTAAACCAAACAAGCTAAAAACTTTAACCAAACCAAACCAATTATCCAAATTAATCAAACCAAATTATCCAAATAGTACCGATTAAAACGGTTACCACTGTAACCAAACCGTTTGAACACCCCTAGTTGAAAGGGCTGAATCACAACCGAGCAGTGGTAGTATTGTAATTTGCTTAACTTACGAAGAAGCCTTCCTTTGCGCTTTGGTTTTCTCTCTTGGCATTTTAACGCCCATCACTTGGCCTGGTCTCGTACAGAAAACCGAAGTCCCTGTTCTCCCCTGATTTCTCAATTTCCTCTCAATCCACCAACAAGCAGCTCGATCACCTGGATCTCTCTGGCTCTTCCGATCTGTAACAATGGTTAGCGCCTGCTTATCCATCTCCGTTTCAATTCTCGTTCCACCGAAATTTGATTTGTTCGGAAAATTTGCATTTCTCGCATCGGAGCCCGGTTGATTCGGAGTGTAGCTTAGATCTGGCAGAAATCTCCTTCGATTTGACGCTTATACGCGTTATCGCATCTGTTCAATGAGATTCTTACTCTCTACTTCTACAATCGAATGCTCGTTTGGTTGCTCGGAATCCGCGCGCTGGTTTTCTACGGAATTCCCGGCGTTTCTGCTGCGGCGCTTCCAGTAGTATACTTGTTTAGCTTTTCTGCTGTTTATGTTTCGGGATCGAAATGAGATGTGGAGTTCGCGAATGGGGAAAAGATCTGGTGAGGTGCAGAGTTGAACCAGGGGGTTCTATGTGTGGCGATCAGTCCAGTGGCTTGAATGTGCGAGTTGGAGTGAATTTTGCTCTTGTTAGGGTGCTGAGAAAGTAAATGAGAGCGGTTTCGTTGTGGTTGTTTGATTTTCTGAATTGTATCACGTAGTTGATTTTTCTTCGTTATAATTTTGTTTGATTTGAAGCTAATGCCAGTCTTCCCTTTCCTTTTGACAGCCTCTCAGGCTCGAAATCAAGGTACTATGTTGCCTTTTTTGTGTTCTCTTCAATTTGGTGATTGGATCTCTTAACTCGGTTATCTCGTTGTTTATGCTGACTGTATTTGTAATTGTTGGTAGAGGAAACTTGCTCAAAGATCGGAGAGAGTGAAGTCTGTGGATCTACATCCTACAGAGCCATGGTAACTTGTTTGATTTTTATTTTCTTCTTTTCAGTGAATTTCTTTCTCGTTTGGACTTGGGATCTCATGGAGAGAAATGAAGTGCACTTGGTGGTATTGAACTTTGACTATACTGAATTGTTATTGCAGGATCCTCGTCAGTTTGTATTCTGGAACTGTGTGTATTTGGAACTATCAGTCACAGGTAAGAAATTTTGACCTGCGCTTGTAGCCTCTTAGTACATAACAATGTATATGGTTTGTAATCTCCACATATCCTTCCACTACTTGTTGGATTCTCGGCATTATCATGTGAAAGTAAGAAGGCTTCTATGCTTGGATTGTAGCAATTTTTCATCCCAATAGTTATGAAGGAATTCTTTGGTGGATCATCTCAGTAATTTTATCCTCTGTAAGGACAGACAATCAATTCTAGTACCAGTGGCCATAGAAGCAAGTTGTTTAAGCCTTGTACTAGTGTATAGGCCATCAAGTAGGATCTGTAGGGGCAAAATTTGGCTCAATTTCAATTGCATCATCCCAGTGGGTAGTTTCTTCCTTTTCTGCCTTTTCTGTGTACCAATAAAATGTTGAATCTTAATCTTACTTATATATATTTCAAAGATTAGAAGAAGAGAGTTATGCTGAAAACGAAGCAGCTTGCGTTAGAATGGCATTGCAGATATTGTTTGAGTGTTTGACACATAGTGCAAACTGTCTTCTCATAATATGGGGCAGATGTTCTGTTATGTACATTGTTTCGTGTTAGCAGAAGACAAGCAAGTTTGAAGGAATAAATATTGACATAAAAAGAAATTGTTGTCCTGTTGGGATTTTCCCCCAAAATACAAGGTTACTAAAACAATTGTTGTCCTGTTGTATTCTAGGAAACTGTTCGAGTCATACCGACCCAACATACAAAGATTGTTGTCCTGTTGTATTGTAGGAAATTGTTATACTAACCTTTATATTTTGAATCAAAATCCTCCTGTTGTGTTCGAAAGTTTACGATCTTCGACCAAAAGTGTAAAGAGAAAGTTCACGACCTTTGATTTGGGTTCGGTATGACTAATCACAATTTTCTTTAAAACATTCAAGGCCATTTATTTTATTGAACATTTGAATTTGACATCAATCTCTTTAGTATGATGACTATGCACCTTAGTAGTATGAATGTTTTTAGAGTTTTCTTTCTTCTTAGAAACCAACTTTGCTGTCTTCTAGATAGTCAGTTTTCTTGAAGGTTCATTTTGTTTTGCATTCAGCACTTTTGTTTTCTTATCTCAAGCTTTCTATGTTCTTGCAGACTATGGCAAAGTCTTTTGAAGTGACTGAGTTACCAGGTAATTGAATGTTATCTGCAAAGTCCAGAGCCTTTTTTGTTTCTTTTTTGAGAATCCTTTCTTATCAATTCCGCACTCTAAACATTTAGTTTTGTTATTGCAGTCAGGTCAGCCAAGTTTATACCAAGAAAGCAATGGGTTGTTGCTGGAGCAGACGATATGTTTATTCGGGTGTACAATTACAACACAATGGACAAGGTTAAAGTTTTTGAGGCACATACAGATTATATTAGGTGTGTGGCTGTGCATCCTACCCTTCCTTATGTCTTGTCATCATCTGATGATATGCTCATAAAACTATGGGATTGGGAGAAAGGCTGGGTGTGCACTCAGATATTTGAGGGACATTCCCATTATGTGATGCAAGTTACCTTTAACCCTAAAGACACCAACACTTTTGCAAGTGCTTCTCTTGATCGGACCATAAAGGTAGTCAACATATTTCTCTTGGTAATTCTCAACAAATCATAATGTACACTTACTTGACAAAATTTACGTAGCTGCTCACATTTTTGTTGTTGTTAGATTTGGAATCTTGGATCTCCAGACCCAAATTTTACTCTGGATGCTCATCAGAAAGGGGTCAATTGTGTTGATTACTTCACTGGTGGTGATAAACCTTATCTGATCACTGGTTCTGACGATCACACTGCTAAGGTTGGTCTAATTATGCTCATTGATTTGCTTGCTTTGGTCTTGCTTTGGTATAACCTCACTGCATGTTGCATGTGTTGCTAGGTGTGGGACTATCAAACCAAGAGCTGTGTCCAGACACTGGAGGGGCATACACATAATGTATCTGCTGTATGTTTTCACCCTGAACTACCTATAATCATCACAGGTTCTGAGGATGGTACGGTCCGCATATGGCATTCTACAACCTATAGGTCAGTGTAATTCAAGATGTTTTCAAGCAATATGCTCTCAGACTTTCTAACCTTATGGTGTACAGACTTAAAGACGTTTTCCTTTGACCTGCAGATTGGAGAACACATTGAATTACGGTCTTGAAAGAGTTTGGGCAATTGGCTATATTAAAAGTTCACGAAGGTAAATGCTCTGCTAATTTGCAATCATTGTGTAGGTCGTTGCATCACCTAATATGGCCTTCAGTTTTTACGCTGGGTTCTGTTCCCCACCACTTCAACTTTAAAAGAAAGAAACGGAGTTACTCCTATGGCTCCTAGCTATTTGCTTCTTCAGATTCACGCTACTTAACAACGAGGGGTTAATGTCAATTGAGGAGCTTTTTGGAAGTTGGATTTTTCAAAAGGATGGATTTGAAATAAGAGGATTGTAAGGATAGGTAGATCCGAAAATGTTAATGTCTGGATAGCTGATTTATAAATACGTATCATCGTGTGGAGATAAAATAAAAAAAAACATTCCTTTACGTGAGAGGTTCCATTTCCATTCTAGTAAGAGTTTTGGCAGCTCCAGAGATTTCAAACACAGCCACAGTTGGTACCTGTTTTTTTGTCAGTAGAATGGTGGCTTTTGCATAATCCTTCCAGAGAGAGATCGAGGCCATATTCCTTAATCCAAAAGACACTTTAATAACTGATATATAAACAGGTTGATAAAACCTTGCCTTTGGTTCTTCGTTGTTAAGTACAGTTCGTATTCTTCTTTGGTTGCTTCTTGCTAGGTTTTTAATGAATTTTATTTGTTGGATAGATTGTTTCCTTATGTTGTCTTCTTGATTTCACCTTTAGCGAGTTGTATTATTGACAATTTGATAATCAGGATTGTCATTGGCTATGATGAGGGAACCATTATGGTCAAAATTGGTCGAGAAGAACCAGTGGCCAGTATGGACAATAGTGGAAAGATTATATGGGCCAAACACAATGAAATCCAGACTGTAAACATTAAGAGTGTGGGCGCTGATTTCGAGGTTTGGACTGACTTCATTATACATTGCCAATATATTGTCTACTGGAAGTTGATTTGCTTGGTGTGGCCATAATACTTCGTGTTTTCTTCCCCCATACCTGTCTCTTCACTAGGTTACTGATGGAGAGCGATTACCTCTGGCAGTCAAGGAGTTGGGAACATGTGATCTTTATCCACAAGTGAGTTAGGATTCCTACTTGTTCCTCTGCTGTTCTTATGTAGTTAGGACTTAAGGTGCCTGTAATATCGAGATTCTGCAACTAGAGGAACGAACTTATGTTTGATCTAGTTATCTGGATTGAGGCATAACTTATGAAATCAGTTATAAGATGACATTGAAAAGCACAGCTGTCCTAACTCCTAAGCATAGGAAAAAGTTGATAAGTAGCCAGTCTTTCTCAGGTTCAATCTGTGTGAGTGGCGAAGTTATCAACCATTATTCTAACTTCACTATTTCGTAATTAATTCATTTTTCTGGCAGTGCGTGCATTCACTTATTTTGTACTCAATTTTCTGCAGAGCTTAAAGCACAATCCCAATGGTAGATTTGTTGTTGTTTGTGGAGATGGTGAGTATATTATATATACAGCTTTAGCATGGAGAAACAGATCATTTGGTTCTGCCTTGGAATTTGTTTGGTCTGCGGAGGGTGAATGTGCTGTCAGAGAAAGTACATCAAAGATTAAGATCTTCAGTAAAAATTTCCAGGTAAGCCCTGCTAAGTATTTCAGCTCAATTGTATGCATATTTGAATGGGGCGTCACAAGTCGCCTATTCTGTGATTGCCATTGAAAATAATATCGACTTCCTTGGTTGACTGTCTTGTTTCTTTGGGGGATAATGTCTTCTACTTTATTTTTTATGAGTTGCTTGTTTGTGCAAGCACTGTGTCCTAGCACCCAACTATTGCATTTGTTATTGGATACAGGTCGACATTTGTTTTAGTGCCATTGCCAACTTTATTCATGCTATTATGTTGCTTGTGGTGTTCTCTGTTGTAAATTTGTAACGCTTATGGGCTAGCATATATTGCGCTAGATTCCGATTTTGTGATTTCATGTGTTGAGGACATGTAAGTTCTGTGAACTAAATAAGAGGTGCTCATTCAGGAAAAGAAGAGTGTGAGGCCAACCTTTTCAGCTGAGCGAATTTTTGGAGGCACTCTATTGGCTATGTGCGCGAATGATTTCATCTGCTTTTACGACTGGGCTGAATGCAGGCTAATTAGGAGAATCGATGTCACTGTTAAAGTAAGCAAAAGATGTTCTTCCTGGTGATTTGAGTTATACTGCCCTTTTCTTGGTGCCTGTCAGTGCTGTCACTAATGGTATTCTTTTCCTTCTATGTATCAGAATCTTTATTGGGCTGACAGTGGTGATCTAGTGACTATTGCAAGTGACACGTCGTTTTACATCCTCAAATACAGTGTGAGTTGTCTTTTTTCATTTTCATTATCCTTGGGGAAGTACATGTCACTGTGTGAAACTGAACTTCTGAATCTTTTGTTTATTGCTGCAGCGTGATGTAGTTTCATCTTATCTAGAAGGTGGAAGAGGTGTAGATGAAGAAGGTGTTGAAGAAGCCTTTGAGCTTCTACATGAAACCAACGAGCGTGTACGGACTGGACTTTGGGTGGGGGATTGTTTCATTTACAACAACTCTTCCTGGAGGCTCAATTACTGTGTTGGGGGAGAGGTACTCATCACTTCCAATTCATTTGTGGATTTAGTATTTTTCTTTTCCAAGTTTACTGCTTTCGATATTAATCATGATTGCTGACTGCAAGTTGTTTTAGGTAACCACCATGTACCATTTGGACCGCCCCATGTACTTGTTAGGTTATCTTGCTAGTCAAAGTCGGGTGTATCTTATTGATAAAGAATTCAAGTAAGTGGTTCTCAGAGGTTTCTGGACTTCAGTGAGTCATATTTTGACAATGGACCTTCATCAGCTAATTATTTGGTCATTCTACGCAGCGTTATTGGATACACTTTACTTCTCAGCTTGATTGAGTACAAGACTCTTGTCATGCGCGGTGACTTAGAAAGGGCCAATGAAATCTTACCGTCAATTCCTAAAGATCAGTACAATAAGTAAGTATTCTGGTTGTTGCATCAGACTAACTACCTAACTAGTATTGTGTGGCTCATAAATGTTTGAACGAATATTTTTGTTTCGTCAAATGTTTGATCAGAGGCATATCATCTTCTGGAGTACACTATCCTTTAAGTTTCTGTTTGAAAGTATCATGACTTCAAGCACCTTATCATTTCTGTATTGCTATCCACGTCTTCCATCTGTCTACTCTGAACTGATGAATAGGGGTGTACATGGGTCGGGTGGTCCGGGTTTAGGCATTTTAATCACCCGACCCATGCACTACGGTTTGGAAAATATTAAACCCAAACCCACCCAAAAAAATCTAAACCCTACGGTTTGTTTCTAATTGGGTTGGGTCGGGTTGGCGATATTTTTAAGTAAAAACCCAACCCAACACAAAATATGTAATTATACTACATCATAAAAATATTTTATAACAAATTAAAAATTCAAACGAATAAACCGAGGTGAAAGGTATCAAAATTCACAAATATTGTTAGAATTTTAATAAAACTTGATTTACTTCAACTTATGTCTAGTTTTTTTCACGACATTTGTTGAAATAGGCTAAAAAGGTTACAAATGAACACATCCATAATATGATATTCTTTTAAAATTGTACACAAGAAAAAAAAATTACTTGAATCATGGCTATATTAAATATATGTCTAAACTTTAAGTCGAAGAATGCATTAGATTAGTGAGACTTTAAGAGAAAAATATGGTGAAATATCTTAATTTTCTCATAAGTATGACTATATACGACATAAATACTTTTTTGGATACAAACTCGTACCAATAATTGGAACACGGGTTGGGTCGGGTTCTACGGGTTGTGTAATCCAAAATCCAAACCCAACCCAAAAGAGGCGGGTTGTACAAAAGAAAACCCTCACCCAACCCAAAACCTTCAATTTAGCGATAAATACGGGTGGGTTGGGTCGGATTGGACGGGTGGGTCGGTTTGCGGGTGTATTTGTTCACCCCTACTGATGAATGCTATATCTACCTCAACTTGTTTCCTCTGCTAGTGTTGCACGCTTTTTGGAGTCACGAGGCATGGTGGAACATGCTCTGGATGTAGCCACTGATCCTGATTACAGATTTGAGCTAGCCATACAGCTCGGTAGATTAGAAGTTGCACAGGTATATTCAAGAGATACCGTTCTGGGCTCGCGTTGGTATTTAGAATATTTTCTCTTGATGAATAAGCTTTGGGGGGTGGTTTTTTATCTTGTAGGAAATCGCATCAGAGGTGCAGAGTGAGTTGAAGTGGAAGCAGTTGGGAGAATTGGCTATGTCTAATGGCAAGGTATTGTCTCACGACCATGGCTTTAACTTGTGTATTTGAGCCTACACTTTCTGCTCCAGTAGGTTCTAGTTATCTTTCTTTTGTGTACAATATATTAGGCATCTACTAGCTATGCTGGACAGGCTGTCAATCTTGTTTGGACATTAAAATGTGAACAATATCTTTCCGCCTCCGGCAAAAGCAATCATTGACGACTTGATTACTGTCAAATTCTTCTTTCCCTCGATTTGATCTTTGGATTATAATTGTGTTACATAGCTGGTTGGATGTAAGAGTCCTGCTCCAAAATGTCAGATATCCACTATAGCTTATTTTGCAAAGTCATGTTATTTCAGTTGGAAATGGCTGAAGAGTGCATGAGGCGGGCAATGGACTTGAGTGGACTATTGTTGCTCTATTCTTCTCTAGGAGATGCGGATGGGATTTCGAAACTTGCGGCTCTAGCAAAAGAACAGGGAAAGAAAAATGTTGCTTTCTTGTGCTTGTTCATGTTGGGTAAATTAGAAGAGTGCCTGCAGCTATTAGTGGAAAGGCAAGTACTCCTGCAACCGTTTTTAGTTGCTATGCCATTACATTCACTCTGACTGACATTCTTCTTGTAGTAATCGGATACCCGAAGCTGCTTTAATGGCTCGCTCTTATCTTCCGAGCAAGGTTTCAGAGATTGTTGCTATCTGGAGAAAAGACCTCAGCAAAGTAATTTGATTTATACTTTCATATTTATATTAGACATCAATCATTCCTATTCTTCTTTCCCTGTTTACACGTGGTGCACTTTTGCCATGCTAATTATTGACTCATATTGCATATTATTTCTATTGCTGCCTGAAGGTCAATTCAAAAGCTGCAGAATCCTTGGCGGATCCGGAGGAATATCCAAATCTGTTTGAGGATTGGCAAGTTGCATTGTCTGTGGAATCGAAATTCGGCGACATACGGTAAGAGTGATGAGCTGTTCCTGAGTAGAAATGAGCGTCTTCAATATTTGAAGGAATTCAGCTTCGTCAATACTTACTCCTAAGAGTTTTCCTTAATTGGGAGCTCTCTTGTACTTAGTCTTGTTGGATGACAATCCTTTCACAAGATCTCTCTAGAAGGTAAATTCTTTTCATTTGCTGATTTTGTGTTCTTTTTTCTTCTTTTTCCCTTGTTTCTTTGTAGGGGTGTTTACGCTCCGGCAGAAGACTATATAAACCATGTTGATAAACCTCACGTTACACTTGTGGAGGCTTTTAGAAACATGCAGATTGACGAGCCTCTTGAAAATGGAGAGTACGAGAACGAGGTATGATATCCTGCAATACGGTTTGATTGCATTATGACACTACATGTTATGGTACACATTTCAACTTTTGATAAAGCTAACTGAATACTTTAATTTCAGGTTGGTGAAGAGCAGATAGAGGAAGAACACAACACCACCACGGATGCAGCAACTGGAGAAGGAAGCCAACATGAAGAGGCAGTTGTGGTGGATGCTGATTCCATGGACGGTGGAGTACTCGTTAATGGGAATGAGGCCGAGGAACAGTGGGGTACGAATAATGAAGGAACCCCATCAGCCTAAAAGCAAAATTTCGTTGGGGCAGTGTGAAAAACCAATTTTTGTCTCCGGTGATTAATTGATCTAACGTGCCCATCTCTGTGTCTCCCCATTTCCTAGAGTTGTTTTTTCTTCTTCTTCTTCTTCTTTTTGTTGCTACCAGTGCTAACAAGTGATGTATGTGTTAGAGAACTCCCTGACTTTGCCCAGTTTTTGGTAGTAATCTCCAGTTCAGGATATTGTGTCTGCTCTAACTTCTACCTGGTTCACTGGGGACTCACTGTCGTGATTGAAGTCCCACTTCCATGGAAGTAATTTTGGTTCAGCCTTGTTTTGGAAGATGAGAGTCCCACTTCCATGGAAGAAAGTTGTGTTCTTTTAGCACTTGATCAGATTACTTGCTAGTAATTGAACCTCTAGTGAATGAATCACGCATATGAATTGGAGAGAAAGTCCTGCATTTGTTTGCCAATGCTCAGGCTAAAGCTTGGTTGTCTTGTCATATTACTGCTGTGTCCTTTCTCTATTCGAATCTAGCCTTCAATCGTTTTTTAGTCTCATTTGTGATTGTTGGTTTAGACATCATGATCCTCATACTTGTTTCTCTCTTTCTTTTGGCAGTACTTACACCACACGAGTAGGTGCCCATCAACAACAATCATTTGTTCTGATAGTATCATTCTCACTATTAGAAGGTAAGAGACTCCTGTCCTCGAACGATGCCCTCTGAAGCGAAAAATTGGGGAATGCTCTTTGCTTGAATGATTATGGTCTCAGTGGCTGCATAAAATGGAACTATTACGCGAAATCTTAATTGTCATAAGCCCCACAGGGGAATATGATTTGGGAGCTAGCTTGTGAGATGAATCAGTCGTGCTGAGTCTTGAAACGTGATTGCTTGTCATATGCAAAACCGTAGTTAAATTTGAACCTTGGGCGTGCAGAATATAATCTTTTTCTTTATGGTGTGTTCTTCTGATCTTCACCAGGTTTGTTTCCAGATTTGCTTGGAAGAGCCGACTGTCATTAGATGCTGGTTGTTACAGTTGAGGCGGCTTGGATCGTAATTACGTTGAATTTTGATAATAGACAACATTTATAGTAATCAAACAAGATTCATAGCTTAGTTGCCCCCCGTTTTCTCCCTTCGATTTTTCATGTAGTTCTGTCCTAGGGTATTCTTTGCTGAGGCTTCTATATGTCAGTTGTGTCATTGTGAATGTAGAAAAAGATGGGAGACAAATGATTTTCTTTTCCATATATTTTTTCCCTGTGATCTCTTTGCTCCTGCCCTGTTGACTGGTTTTATAGAAATTCCTGGGTGTATATTTCTTTTCTTCTTCCAATTAAATGGTTGTTGAGGCAGTTTTGATATGCTGAGAACTTTTACTGGTGTCTGCATGTTTTGAGAACTGGCGTAATTTGATCTTTATGGTTCAACGAAAATTTTTATCTAGCCATTCCTAATGGAAAATTCGCTGTTCCAGCAGAAAGTAGGAATGTAGGGAAGGCCAGATGAGCCATAACATCCCCGCAGTTGCAGACCTGAAACATGAAAACAAACACAGTCCGCAAGTGCACAACAATCACAGGACAGCAATTCTAGCTGGCAATTGGTTCGGGTATAACCGTAACTAAACCAACTGTTTAGTAGGTTCTCGGTTAATCATTATGAATATTGTGCTTATTGTACAACATCTATATCTTAATCTTAAAATATATTAAAAGGGTTTGAGATTTTAACCCACTCCACGTAAGCCTTAAACGATTTTTATGCATCCACGTCACTAGGATTTAAACCTTTCTCTCTCTCCTAAAAACCGTTCCCCTTTTAAAGAAAACACGCCCCCTTCCTCTATAAAACTCCTAATAAACCGCCTTATTTTTGTATTTTTAATCGTGATATTGAATTTGTTATTATTTTTGTGATAAATAGATACGTTAATAATAATCGTATAAATTTGTGGTAGTAGAGCATGACATAATATTTTATTTATCCAATTTTAACCCAAAAAGCTAACCTATTTAATTAAAAAAAATTATAAAGGAAGACTAATAAAAGCCGGAAAATAAGAATAATTATTTACTAAAAATTCCTTTCAAAAAATGAAAAACAACATGTTAGATAAAAAGGGAAATCAACTAAAATAAAAATACCCCTTATTATTATTCAAAAACATATTCCCATTAAACCATAACTCAATTATGTCAAATAATCTCATAGAAATCAAGTTAAAACTTAAAGGAGACACCAAATTCGATGACCAAAACCTCCAAATCAACTATCACAAAAACCTAAAAAGCTAAAAGATGTAAAAAAATTTATTTATTTTAAATCATTTGATCATATGTCTCAAAGGGACAATTATTTGAAATGATAAAATGTAATGAACCCGGCCATCCGGCCGGGCACAAAGCTAGTTAGTCTATTAATTGTAATTGTGAGCCCTTCTATGATTTAAACTATTGGTGTTTTAAAGTATAATTTTAAGTTGTACCATAACGTTAAAGGTACAAATTGAAGTTGTATCATAAGAAAAATTGACATTTATTTTAGGCAAAATATACTTGTATAGCAATAACTTTCACGTTTTTGACAAATATAGCCATAATTATTGGAAAACACAAAATAGCCAAGAAATTGGATGGTCGTGTGACAAATCACAAATCTAGCCATTTCCGTTAGAAACTTTAACGGTGTTAAAAACTCCGTTAGTTATGTTAACGTTAGGCTGACTAGGATGCCAAATCATCGCGCTCGTCAGCGACAACTCAACCACACTTGCCACGTAAGTGCCATGTCATATTTTAATTCAAAAATAATTTAATTAATCAATTAATAACTAATTTAAAAACATAAAAATATTTATTTTTTTCCCTTTTCAATATCCAGTCTCCTCTCCCTCGTCTTCCCCATCTGTTCTCCAATGGACTCCCCCACCATCTCAATGGCGGAGATAAACAGAGGCTGAATCATCACAAAAAAAGTCAATTTCGTCACTTCTTCTCTATCAAAATCCCTTCTACCTTCCGTTCTTCTCGTTGCAACCCTTCCATCCTCCCAAATCACCAATGATGTCGTCGTTCCCAGGAGAGGCACAGCTTCAATCGAAGCCACCGCTGCATCAATCGACTTTCCCACCACCGCCGCATCAATCGTCATTCCCAACCGGCGACCATTGCTCCCAACCAGCGACCCGACCCCTCCATCTCCGAACAAATCCCCTTCCCTGCAACAAAAATCCCAAACCCAGAAATACCCAAAGGGGTCGTTTGGATTAGGGAATGTGATAAGAGATTTATGAGAGATTTTAAAACAATCTCTCATTCTGCAGGATTTTAACACAATCACTTGTTTGGCAAAATGAGAGATTTTAAAATTAGAAATTTCAAAATTCTTCAAATATGGGTTTTTGAAATAGCTGATGTCTATCAGCTATTTCTAAATCCCTCATCTTTATTTCAATTTTTCCAATCTTTACCCTTCAGCTTAGGTTGTCCGCTGCAGCAACTCTTCCTTTTTCTTTCTCTTCGGGCCTCCTTTCTTCCTTCCGGCGACGGTGAGTATTGACGAACAACATCGAGAGCAAGCCCACTCCTCTTTTCTTCTTTGACCTCTCTCCCTATTTCTATGTAGACGGTTCCGTTTCAAATTGAGGGAATTGGTTCTCCTTCGAGTAACTCACTATGTGCACTCTGTTTCTTTCCGTCTCTGTTGGCGAGGAAAGGGAATGGGCAAGAGGTTCCAGTTCCTTAAATCTGCCGTTTCTATTACTTTGGGATAATTGTTCATTGTTGCAAGGGCGGTGAGGGACTAGGACTGGAATTAATGAAATTCGGGTTTGCGGCGTCGGAGAAGGGGAGTGGAAATGGGTTGGAGACCAGGATCTGCGGGCGGGAGGAGAAGAGAGGGGTTTGGGATTTATACGACAGTGAGTGATTTCTAGGTTTGGGCTTTGCTTTAAATGTTGGGTTTGGATGATTGCTGTGTGGTGTTGGTGAAAAGAATGAACAGAGGAAGAAGACAAAGTGGTAGTAGAATAATGGGTTTGGTGAAAAGAATGAACGGGCATAATTGAGTTATGGGTTTGGTGGAAAGAATGAACTGAACAGAGGAAGAAGACGAAAAGGGAGTAGAAGATAGGGCACTAAAGTAATTTGGTATTTTGGGTTACAATCCTGCATTCTAATCCAAACAAGTTATTTCAATCAAATCCCACATACAAATTCTCCAGTATTTTAAACGAGAGATTTAGGCCCAAATCCCTCATTATTAAAATTCCTAATCCAAACGACCCCAAAATCTCCAGAGAATATACTGAACCCCCTCCGTCTCCGATTCAGATCTGCCTCACCGCTCCTAGCGCACAGCCAGGCCCTGCAACTCCTCCTTCGCCGCAACCCTCTCCGCCTTCAACTCCTCTCCCCGGCCGACGCAACGACGACCTTCTTTCTTCTCCTCCTCCTCTCCCCGGCCAACGCAACAACAACAACCTTCTTTCTTCTTCTCCTCCTCCTCCTCCTCTCCCCGGCCAATGCAACGGCGACCAATCAAAAATCCCAATCCGCCATCTCCCCGTGGTGACATTTCCAATCCGAACCGTGCCCAACAGATCGCCAATAGCTGGAGCCGGGCTTGATTTGGGAATTTGGGGATTTTCCTTGTCGGTCAGTTGGGACTACGCGTGGAGGGACTTGGACTCATGGAGCTGCTCAGAAACCAGATCGTTGGATTCCCTCACCTGCAGATGTTGAATTTCATGGCGGCAATCACTACGATTTCGGCGCAGTTCCAGATCGGGTTCTTCTTCCTGGTTTGAAATATCCCTTTCGTTTCTCACCACCGAACCCATCCTCCATAGATGAACTGATTGGGCGAATCTCGAGGAAGCAATATCAGCTGCAAGAGGGAGCAGTGGGGATGGAGGATTTGGAGTCGGTAGGTCGAGGGGAAAAAGTGCGTCCGGCGGTGGTGGTAGCCCCGCTGAGGGGTTTTCGGCATCTGCTCTATGTCGAACGGCGGCTTCCCACCATACATGGCGGGATCCATTGCGGAGAGCGGTTGTTCATGGCGGCGGGCGGGCTATGGTGGGAATCGTAGGGGAAAGGAGGGATGAAGATGATGTTGAGATTTGAGAGTGCGGGAATGAGCGGGGGCGAACAATGGTGGGGGAGGTACAGAGAGGAAGATGAAGTTTTTTGCATTTTTTTTTCATTTTATGAACTCGGAAAAATTGAATTTATGTCTTTTTTATAATCCATGTGTCCGACGAAGTATCGCCAGGTCAGCATTTCCGTCAGTCTAGTCAGAGTGTTAAGTAACACCGTTAAAGAGATGGACGGAATTGGCTATTTTTTGTTTTCGAATAGTTGTGGCTATATTTGTCACAAACGTGAAAGTTATGGCTATACATGTGTATTTTGCCTTTATTTTATTGTGAAGTTGTACCATCACATAAAAGTACAACTTTAGATTGTACCATAAAGGCATTTTACAAAAAAATATAGGCACAACTTAAAATTACACCATAACGTTAAACGTACAACTTCAAGTTGTACCATAAAAGGAAAATCTAAAGTAACAATGCTTTAAAGCATTGTAAAATTCCTCCGTAATTGTATAGTCGGTTAACTAGATAATCGTTAAGCAAGTGATTCGACAAGGTTGTACCAACACTAATAAGTAACTAACCAACATAAGACCTTCTCAATAGTGCATTTTTGTAGATTTTTCTACATACTTATGTATAGGGGTGTACATGGGTCGGGTGGTCCGGGTTTAGTTATTTTAATCACCCGACCCATACACTACGGTTTGGGAAATATTAAACTCAACCCGCTCAAAAAAATTTAAACCCTACAGTTTGTTTCTAATTGGGTTGGGTCGGGTTGGCGATATTTTTAAGTAAAAACCCAACACAAAATATGTAATTATTTACCATAAAAATATTTTATAACTAATTAAAATTTCAAACGAATAAACGGAGGTGAAATGTATCAAAATTCACAAATTTTGTTTGAATAATAATAAAATGTGACTTACTTCAATATATGTGTAGTTTTTTTTTTCACGATATTTGTTGAAATAGACTAAAAAGGTTATAAACGAACACATCCATAATATGTTATACTATTAAAATTGTACACAAGAAAAAGGATTACGTGAATAATTCATATCTGTATTAAATTTATGTCTAAACTTTAAGTCCCAGAAAGCATTAGATTAGTGAGACCATCAGAGAAAAACATGGCGAAATATCTTAATTTTCTCACAAGTATGGTTATATACGCATAAATATTTTTTGGATATGAACTCATACCAATAGTTAGAAGTTAGAACACGGGTTGGGTTCTACGGGTTGTAATCCAAAATCCAAACCCAGTCCAAAAGAGGCGGGTTGTACAAAAGAAAACCCTCACCTAACCCAATATCTTCGTTTTAGCGATAAATACGGGTGAGTTGAGTCGGATTGGACGGGTGGGTCGGTTTGTGGGTGTATTTGTTCAGCCCTACGTATGTGTTCTTTTTTTAAGTTGTTATCATTGAATAAAAAATAATTAAACAAAGATATCAATCTATAGTCAATTCAATCTAACACAAGTACACAATAACACAATTCTACCATCAAATTTTATTAGATCAAATTTTATTAAAGTAGCAAACAAGAATACAAGATCCAACAACTACCTAACTCATAAACTCCACCAAAAATACATAAAAGTTTGAATGTTAAGTTTGAATGTTTCTGATTGTTGTTGAGGAGGCAAGTCCAACTTTTTACTATGCTCTATCTAAAGCCCTTCATTGAATTATTCTCACCTAAGTCACTATTACAACTAAAGTAGCCAAGAGATCTAACAAGCCTTCAGACATCTCATAGTTTTCAACCCTAACTATGACAATGATTGTAATCAACTAGTCATCATTGGTTAGTTATTAGCTAAATTTAACCACCGAAAATCAACCATTTGTTGTTTAATTGGTTATCAATATAACTATAAATCACCAATTTTGATTCAATTATCAGCTACACCGTTAACAAGATAACCATTTATTAGCACTGAACTAGATCCAATGTTAAGGTTTATCACGTTTGCTTGGAATTGTGCTTTTTTCCTGTCATGTAATTGAGTTTGAGATAGTGATGATTTGCACTCATGTTACCCGATTTCTATCGAGTTTTGACAGAGCAATGAAGAATTCCTATTGGCATAGACCATAATAATTCTACTACAATACTGACGAGTATACAAAATCTTCTGTCGGGCTATTCGCTTGTGATTTTACGTCTGCATGGGCTGAGCAGTAAAGGGTCTCCTCTGCCTAACTGTTAGCTCATCTTCTCTTTATCCTGAGGCGACTTCTGGATCAACTCTCCCTTTCACTAAAGCTGGACTAACTCGGACGTTCGACCCACTCCTTTAGGCATTTTCTTTGATGCCGCTGCCAAATTCATTCACAAAAAGTTGAGTTTCGATGAATGGAAAGATAAATAGGAGAGAGAGAGAGAGAGAGAGAGAGAGAGCATGAGAACATGAGAGAGAGAGAGCATACGATCTTCGACATCCTTCAGCTGATAATAGTGTGGCGCTATTTCTACCAGCCAATCTGGCTTCAGTTCTGTCACCTGCATTTCATGGTTCCCAGATTTAGTTACACAAGTTCAAACTCAAAATGCACAAAATTCGGGTTTTAGCACTGAGTGTATTATCAATTTTTAAGTGCTACAAAGAAGATACTTGCCTGCCTCATGTACTCTTTGGTTGTAAGCACCAACTCATGATATACAACCCATCTTGGCAGAACCTGAATAACATGAGCAAAGCGGTGGTTGTGATTAGGAACACAGCCTCTTACCTCCGATTACCATAGTGATAATACGAAAATAAATATCCCAAGTTCAGAATGCATTTTTACCCAAACCAATGGAGACCGTATGGCCATCTCATTAGTCATTACTTCATATGATATAAGCACTATAACACCCGACTGAATACAACCAATTTCCAAGACAATAAAGGCATTGCTACAAAACTTGACACACTAAATGAGGTCTTACGAAGCTAGAGATTCATGTGAGAGAAATAACTACCAGAAGACATTACAACTTCCTGGGCTTCTTTACACTAGTCAAACTTCAGTAGATGCTGGTTCTAAACTAAGATCAAAATCACAATTCACACCAGGTTTTTATGCAACTATAAACATTCTAGTTCTGAGAATTTTCCTAGTCCACTTGGAAGTATTTGAAAACAAGCAGTAGCTTGCAACTCTTGTGGTGACACATGAAAACATTAAGATAGCTACACTAGTTTACAAGCGAAGCGAAGGGATAATGTTGATACCTGAGCCAACCCTGAGCTAGGGTGTATATGAACAGTCTGGGGATGTTTCACAGTTCGATAAGAACCATTCTTTTGCAGCCGTGCAGAATGAGGAAAGAAACCTGAAAATAGCACCAAATTCGAACTGAGAGCTGCGTATTACTATAAAAATTTCATAATTCCTGGTCACTGACATTTGCACATGCATACATACCAGATGTTATTGACTTCTTCACTGCATCCAACTCATTGGGACTGGAAGAGAGCTCAATTTCAACCCTCTCCAGAAGGCCCTCCAACTGGTCCCTAATGTCCCTTGCTCTTTTCATGCTCCTTACCTAAAGAAAAACGAAATACTCTTGGTACTGAGCATCTCAGAAGCATCAAAATAACAATAGTGGCCTATATATCAAAATTGAAAAAACCAAATATCTACTGGCAAAACTGACACAGAAACAGAAGCCATGTCAAAACAGGGCACACTTGGACGGTCCATTCACTTCACTGATAAGGTCAAGTGCCAAATGGAGTCTCAGCTTGAGAGCTCAATAACTGTATTCCTTCATAAGATTTACTCAGCTACATTGTCTGATTTTGGCAAGCAACGGACAAGGGGTTGTCTTTGATGGTAAAGATCCTCAAGATTCTCCAAGGTCAAGACTCAAGGAACTCGGAAGAAGGGTTTTGACAGATGAGGGTTCATCAGGAAGACAACGTTACAAGGCCTCTTGTGTAACACAGAAAAATGGGGCAAAGAATTTGGACCAGAAATACCACTAATAATGAAGACTTAAAGAGATGAAACCACAGTTCCCTTTTTTCTTATGAATGAAGAATTTGCATTAGCAAATTAAGCACTCATATATGAGGTCACAGTCATTAACAAAAGGAGAAAAAAGTGGAAATAGGCAGCCTCTCAGATGCTTCTATCTTAATTTAAAAGGACCGACAGAAGAAGTAAAAGGAGTTTTCATGAAGAAAAAATAATTAAAAAGAAGAGGACAAGAAGTCTAAGCAAATTCTGCCAACAAACAAGTGAATGGTGAAAGTAGAATCTAAACATTGAAAAAGACAAGACATTCCAATAAACACAAAATCAATCATAATGTACTCTACCTGAATGTAATTTTCATAACACCACTGGGTAGAGAAATTTGTTTCCCTCCAAGAGTTATACACCTACAGAGAACGATAACATAAATAGTTCAAGGAAATAATTCAGAAATCATACTGCAACAAAAACCGAGAGCCCACGATAAGGAATATACAACCAGAGTGCTCCCATACGACCAACCTTGAGTAGAGCCATATGGTCTCCTACATTTCCCGTGTGAAAATTCATTCTCGCATTGTCAGCGTGCACTTGTTTGTCCTTGGGACGATAAAAGATAGAGTTTCCAATTGACAACATAGCAGCAATAGAAATGATCTCATCTGAACATTTGTACTTGTCAGAAGCAACTATCATTTTGGCTTGCATAGGATCAAGTGGAAACTCAGCCATCCTTCTACCGACCTTTGTCAGTTCACCATGCTTATTCAGGGCATTTAGAGCAAAGAGTAACTCTAGAGCTTTTAATAATGCCTCAGATGGTGGTGGATCCATGAAATCAAAATTCAATAAATCATGAATGCCAAGACTCTTCAAAGATAGCACAACACTTGCCAGATTAGTCCTTTGTATCTCAGGTACTGTGTTATCATCCAAGTCATGGTGATAATTGTAAGCTGTGTACAACCGAAAGCACATCCCGGGACCTGTTCGGCCAGAACGACCTGCACGTTGCATAGCTGAGGCCTTTGATACGGGAGTCACAAGCAAAGACTCCATTCCAGTTCTAGGGTTGTATGATTTCATCTTACAAAACCCAGGATCAATAACATACTTGATGCCATCAATAGTTAGAGATGTTTCAGCAATGTTTGTAGCAAGGACAACCTTCCGTGCCCCTTCAGGAGTGGGCTCGAATATTTTGGCCTGAAGCTCTGTCGGTAAGTTTGCATAGATAGGACAAATAATAAGCTCAGCAATTTTAGTCCCTAAACCTTTTGTCCTGTGTTTCAAAGTTTCCTCAGCTGTCTCAATTTCCTCCTGACCAGTAAAGAAGACTAATATATCTCCAGGTGACTGTGTCACATGGATCTGAAGCACTGTTACTATTGCAGCATCCAGATAGTCAGCTTCAGGCGCTCTTGTGTAGTGTATCTCGACAGGGTACCTCCTACCAGGAATCTTGAAAATCGGAGCTGAGTCAAAGTAATCACTAAATTTCTCAGCGTCCAGTGTTGCGCTTGAGATCAGTAGCTTTAAATCTGGTCGAAAACGTGATATATCCTGTCACACAAAACAAGTCATGGTAATGCATATGGAAGGGACTGTGAATGCTGAATGATAATTTCGCTTGTAGTAAAACCAAAAATAATAAGGAATCCACTTGCCTTCACCAGTCCAAAGAGTATGTCAGTCGACAAAGTTCTTTCATGTGCTTCATCCACCATGATCACGCTAAACACAACATAATAAGAAAAGTACGGGCTGATCAATGATGCTAGTGAACATTGGAAAAATGAGGTTTTTGAACAAGGATATTAACTGACCTATAGCTAGCCAGATCGGGTTCGCCGAGGAATTCTCTCAGTAGCATCCCATCTGTCATATACTTAATAATAGTCTTTTCTGATGTATTATCCTCAAAACGGATGGAGTATCCCACCTGCAGAAGTTGAAAAGCAACCATCAGCTATTGAGAAGTCAAAATAGCAGCTGACACACCATTCAATAACCGAAACAGAAAAGCAAAGATAAAAAAACTAAGAAATCCAAAACTGAACACAAACCTCGTGTCCAAGTTTGACACCCATCTCTTGAGAAACCCTAGCAGCCACACTCATAGCTGCAACTCGCCTTGGTTGCGTGCAACCAACCTGGGTAAAAGGGCATGATTATATATCGGAAATGTTCATCACAATCTGATTCCACAGCTCTTACATTCTATCCCCGTACTGTGGAAACCTTTTGTATTCATAAGCAGGTTATGGGATTAATGTAGAAACAAGTACCAATTTCAAGTGGCATGACAGTAACAAGTCCAATGACACCCCACACTCTGACCCATACTAGTTTATTATGCCAGAGGACATTAGAGGTGGTCTTTGAGATCTACAATCATGCTCAAAGTTCAAAGAATTAACCCAAAATGCATTTCACTCCGAGCACTACAGCCTGGTCAAGGATTTGCACATACAAGCCTGGTAGAGTGCCCATTAGACGCTACCAGTACATGTATTATAATACAGGAAGGTAGATTTTTGGGTAACGCAACAATGCTATTCAGCTAAGTAGAAAGAAAGTCTTTATTTTTCAACGTGTAGTTACCACAGGGCCTCAGTCTACATGACAGGGTAACTCTCCCATCCAAACCCCTACCAAGATACGGAGACTCAATCCCCAACCTCAAGGGTCAAGGATTAGTGTTCACTGTTTCATCAGCTATATTAAAAATAACAAAATAGAGAATAGTAACAACTGAATGAAGAGCGAATTCTTAGAGAGGACATGGTAAGAAATAAGTACCTTTCCAAGCTTGGTATATCCGGCTTCATGCAGATACTGGGGTATCTGTGTGGTCTTCCCTGAACCAGTCTCTCCTACTATAACAAGAACCTAAAACAGAATTTGGAGCACAATAAGAATCTAATTCCACAATCACATCAAGGACACTTGACTAGACAAAATGAAACAGCATATCACAAACAAACACTCTATTCGGGGATTCTACCAAACAATGGCCAAAAGAAGGGATCATACTCGGCCATGTCTCCAGCAAGTTAAAGTTTCAAGGTTTCAGGATGTCAAGTTCCATGTACAGCCAGCAGTAGCTCTTAATGATGGTCATACACAACTTAATAGAAAAACTTACATCGCCAAGCTCATTAAAGGAAATCTGTTGAGGGATTTAGAGAGCTATGGAAATCTAAGTAGTATTGCAAATGAGGCAACATGAGCAAGTATTATATGTACACTTCAGGACACTTGTTGGGAGTTCTGAGTTAATGAATTCATACCAAAATTACGAAAAGGAAACTATTGAATCTGAATACCCATTTTCAACACTGGAGAAACTAAGGGAATTGCTTTCCGTGAGATTTAGATCCATTGTATTTCTGGAACCCAAAACAGTAAGAGTATGCCAAGAAGCAGTTTCACCAAACGGATTTTATCCCAACGATGCTCAAAATCTTATAGCAGAATGTCGGATGAACAGTAATAAATGACCCATAGTAAATTACGGTACGGGAAAGTTACGTATAAAATACGTACGGGTATTTTACTTTGTCTTTAAGCTAATATTATGTTTAATAGTACGTTAATAGTCATAAATATATAAAATTAATTATTTTTAAAAATAAATAATATATAAAAAATAGTAAAGTTAATAATTTAATGGATTAAATATGGATATTAAACGTGTTATACGGGTTTTATACGAGTTTAGTACGGGAGCCGTCAAATGAACGGAAACAAATGAAACGGATTGACAATAATATGGATACGGAAGTTTTAAACGGATAAAGTATGTACGGGTACATATACGTGTATTAAACGAAGTATTTACTAACTATTAATGACCTATGGCATGTGTTGAGAACTAAATACATAAATTTGGGCAAGGCCAAAAAACAGTGTGATCTGATATCAAACGTAGGCACAAAATGAAGCAACAGTACCAGTTCTAAGCAAAAGAAAAGAAAACAAAACCTGATAATCTTTGACGGCTTGGAGTAGTTGTTCTCGATATGGATATATGGGTAAGGTTTTCCTATCCTCCTGAACACAAGAAAAGGTATGCAAATGGTCAGAGTAATGCCTCACCAGCAATAATATCAAATTCCATCAGAAGTACATTTTCTTATGCTTCCTAAAGAACATTTCTTCAAGGAAGAAAACGCCTCCAGTGAAACTTTGTGTATATCAGTACGGACACGTCTGTAATTTTCACCCTATTTCTTAAGCTACTGTAGCTGCATGGCAACTGCCGGAGCATTAAAGTCACAAAGTAAACTAACAGTGGCGTGATGGTTCTAGAGTTCCACTTATCCAATAGCAGACAACAATTGCTGGAAATGTTAACAAATTCGGAAGACAAATTGGTAAAGTAGGAAAACCATTTTGAATTTTGTATCCAAGTAGAATCTCTGATTTAATGCATTGCAATTGATAAACTAAAGATGGATAGTCATAGTTAAAATTTTGCATGATAGTAAATAGCTTTCACCAATGCACAAAGAGGGGTTTGGTTATGGTGTTGATACCATTTCCGTAAGGATCTCTAAACAACCTTCTTCCCCGTTTCCCCGTTTTTTCAGATATTTCGGCCACAAACATTTTTTAACCTTATTCTTTACAATCTAACAAGACAAATATTGGGAATTTTTTACATGTTTTTTTAGATATTTTTGCAGGAGTATTTCCAACACCAGACGAATGAGTAGTCACACCCCTTCATGTGAATAACTTTTGCCAGCATTGTGAATACTCCTCGAAAACGTGGAAAAAGAATATATATATCAACATTTGTTAGATTGTAAAAAATAAATTAAAATAAGTTTACTCAAATAATTTCGTAAAAAAAACTTTTGAAGCTGTGAAGGAACGGGATTGTTAGGATATCCTTGCAAATAATGCTGTCATGTTCATAACCAAATCCGCACAAGGAACCTTTAACTTGCTACAAAAACCAAAGATGCAAAGCATTCATCCATGCACAATAAACTAGTATCATTTATATAGTCAATTTCTGAGCAAACGAGGATGTTAACCCTCTTTTCCTCTAAAGGGTACAGGTAGAGAATATGGAAGCCTAACCTGGAGCTTCTCCAAACCTGTTTTAGCCTCCAATTCCTCAAGTGCATCCGGCGAGAGATCATTATCAAACTGCATAGAAAACCAAATTACCTGAGAAGAACGTATTGATATTGAAAGCAATGGTCCATTATCAAACAAGATAATCAGCGTACTTTGTCACCATCCATTACTGAAGCCTTGATAAAATCAATCTGGTCCTCAAACACAAACCTGAATAAATGCACAGAGCACATACCAACTGTGTCAACATAAGCATTTAGTTTCAACATCGAACAGCAATATGAACTTTAAAATACTAGGTACTATGTAGAAGTGGTGACTCCAAAGAACAGAAATCAATATACATGGAAAGTCGTACAAGCTTTCATACTCTCAAATCAAGCTTTCATATTTTCAATGATTTGGGAGCAAAGAGAGAGACTTCAGAAAAGGTGACCCGAGTCCCAACCCATATAAAATATTGTTATTCAGTGAGACTAATGTGTCAGCCTAACACTCATCCGCATGCTAATGCCAACAAATTACTCCTGCGGAATTCCATTGATCGAAGACCAACAATACCAGCTGTGTTTTTCAAAAGAAAACAGGGACAACTAAAACTTACTGATAATCATCAGATGCCTGCTTTTTATTTTTCGAACCAAAACTCAGTTTTGCTTTTCCTGCAAGCATAAATTTCCCAATCAGAACCTCTTATGCCAGACTTAACGAATCACTCAGCATTAGAGTAGCTACATTCTAATAATATTTCAGGAACCCACCGATTTGATGATCTTCCCAAGCATCTTGTTCTCCATGAGGGTTCATTTTCTCTGCAGCACCATCATCCCTATCGCGCAGATAATGAACGAAATAGTTTGGTAAGATGCGATCATGCAGCCAGTTAAGAACTTTGACTCCGTCATTTCATATGCTGCTAGCAATAAAAACACCTTTCGGTATTACCTGTATCGCTGGATAGCAACAGCAAATCTCTTATCTTGATTAACGCCACCTTCCTGATCGTATGCTTCTGGCATCCTGTACTGCACTCCAGAAAATGAAACATTAAAATGATGAAACCAATTGGAAAAACCAAGTAACTACAACACATTAACCAAAACTTAAGACAACAGCTTCTGTTTCCCAGCACAAGTTTTTCAGCCAGAGAAAGGGTACGGCCAACTCTAACAAGTCAAACAAATTTCTAGGGAGGAAACAAACGGCAACATGCAACCAAGCATCCCCTAGCAACTAATGAAGAAAAATATATATCTGGCTTTCAACAGAGCAACTGATACTTTTCCTCATGCAAAACGCAGAATGTACAAAATCAACTACCACCTTTGCCAATAAATGAAGCTAGATTGTCAATGACAACAAACCGACAAACCAGTACAACCAAGAAACCACAACCACTGACAGCTAAGTGGGCACACTGGTCCAACAAGATCCAGAGGAAGTAGTCATTCAGTACCTCATTTATGTCATCAGGCTGTACTGACTTCTCTAAAAGCTTGACAAGTTCCACCTTGTTTCTGTCATGAAAATAATAAAGATATCAATTACCCACACAAAACTGATTCTACAGAACTCCACGGAGAGTATGTTTCTTATTCACATTATAAGATTCGAAGAATGATAATCAACAGTATGTTCAGTTGCACTCAAAATATGAGATATCGTTTAAGATACATAATAATAATGATATGCCAAACGTAAGTGATCCTACAAGAATCAAACCATTGAATGGTTCTAATGCACATTGGGAGAAGAAAAGAATAATGATCAACAACATCTTCAGTTTTTTTTTTTTTTTTTTTTTTTTGAACAACATCTTCAGTTGATGGACTCATTTAAGATATTTTTTGCCAATAAGCACATAATGCAGAACCGAACAAAACATCATAAGATAAACAGTGTTGCAAATTACTATATATTCTTCTCACACCAGAGGTCCATAACCAAATACAAATTGAATGAGAACATATGCATTAATGGCCAGGAAATCGGGCCAAGTTCAATTAATTCCCCTTTTACAAAAACCAATTGGTTAGAAAGCAACAATTACCATAATAGATGCTAAGCTTCATTGAAGAAATATACTCATGAATTATGATAAGGAATCAGTCTATTACCTTTGATCTTGATATTCTGTTTCAGTGAGCTTCACACCATCAAACATATATAGATTATCTAATACCTCATCCCTGCAAAATTGAGACAGAAGCTAGTCATATTAACAAGCACACATTCTAGTCCAGCATTTTAAGAACCCAGGCTTTAAAGAACAACACAAACAACAAAGAACATCAAGTTCAAATCTAAGACCGACATTTTCCCATTTCTTTTACCGTATACTATCATGATAATCAGCAAGGCTAAATGGTTGGCCTAATCATAATGGAGGATAAAATCATTAAGTTGAAACCCTTGGGGAAATTATTAGGAAAAATAATCTATAAGCAGCACCACTAAGTTGGTAGTTAGTGATATATGGTAGCACCATACCGAAGTTCTTCCACTTTTTTCTGCTCCCTTTTCTTTAGATACTCCTGTCTGGACACCTTTCTGTGGGAACAAACATTAGAACAATGGGAAAAGTATTAACATCGTTATCAGTGCATAAACCGGGAGAAGCAGTGGTAACAGATTCACAAATGAAACCTTAAAGTATCAATGCCATCATTCTCCAATGCATTCGCTCTGCGAATCATCTCACCTGTTACAAAATACAGAGGCCAGTAAGAAATGGTACTTTTTTATAACCAGCATCTTATACGGATATGTACATGATAGTTAAGCTTCATACCTTCCTCCTTTTTTGTTAACTTTGGCTCTGCCAACTGTTACAATTGGGTTAAAGAGCATTAGCCAAACTAGAAACTGAACTGAACCACATTTTTGTGTTAAAGAGCATATTGTATTAGCAGTAACACAAAAATAAAGCTATAGCCCAATTAAAGGAGGGGGTGGAGTACAGGTTCGTGAAGGATTATGGCTATAGAAACCTAGGACAAGCTGAAGTTATAAGGATTAAGGATCTCAAGTTTGCTGATATGGAGCAATCCAAGGCCCCAAATTGGTGACATATATGGCCAACTGATCTTATGTTCTACCAATAACCTGAGAAAGCTATATAACAATTAACAAGCATAACGAACTTCAAGAGAAAAATATGATACATTGAGATTTGAATTCTAGGAGGGTCTCGGGTTATACACCACGATCAAACAAAATAAATCTTATTCCCGTGGAGCTTCGAAACGAAGATGCTTTGGTAATAACAAAACAGTATAGAAGGTTGAAAGACTCCAACTATGCCGCATGCAATTAAAATGCCAACCTACATCTTTAAAGCTAATTTGTGTACCTTTCTGGTTGCTGCAGCATCACGTTCTCTTAAATTTCGCTCCAATTGCTCACGTTCCATTTGATCCCGCAATATTTCTTCATCTGACTGTATAACCAGAAGAGACAAGAAAGATAGTTAAAATCATATATTTAGAGAAGAAAAAAGTAAGGTAAAAATAATGAACAGCTCAAAAGTGATCATTGAAGAAAATAAATTACGATAGCATTAAGGAACTTCAGCAAAAACAAGCTTCCAACAGGAGCACTTAAGAGATTCAAGTTTCTTTATTGTTTATCACGAGAATCTGAACTTGAACTAAAGTAACATAGCAATATCATCAACCAATAAGACAAGGAAGCTTGCTGATAAACAAACACCAAGCCACTGTCAAGAACAGTACCTCTGAACCATCATCTTCATCATCAGAAATCCGTCTCTTCACTCGCCTCCCTTCTTCCACATGTTTGACCACCTGCAGCATCAGATCAAGCCATACCAACAAATAACCACATCAGAATCCACGCTAACCAGAAACCGACCATATCATCAAACAAACTAGAGCGTTCTGTCGATGGGAAAATGAACACCGTGCCTCGGTCTCTTCATCGTCATTATTATCACTCTTTTTCCTAAAGCGCTTCTTATCTGCCCTTCTGGTCTCCATAGTCAGTTTACTTGTTGTGGCAGTAACATTACTAGCACTGCGATCATCGTCCTCATCATCAGCATCCAAAAGCGTATACATCTGCTGCTTCTTGGCCAATATTGCAGCTTCCCGTTCTTGTTTTTGGTAAACCTGTGCAGAAAAGTTAGGACACTTAAACTGGCAAAAACTAATGAAGAATCACTTAAAGGGTAAAATCTCCTTTGACAAGCATAAGCATCAAGGAATGTAACATACAGAACTCACATTTAAACCAGAAGCTTTTCGTGGAACTCTAGCAAAGATTTCTTCAGCAAACGTGCGCGTTTCTGCTGAAGATGGTAAATCCAACTCCACTAGTTTGCCAAATAACTCATCTGGTGATTTTGCTTCCTTAGCTGCAACAAACAAAAAATGCCTACGATATTATGCTACACAAAGATAAACCGTCAAAGCCTCTAAACTATTTCCCATCCTTAAGTCACTGAGAACAAAGGGTGAATCATGCCACCACCAAATAGTAGATGCAGCCCACAAAGATTTGTTCACCATATAAAAGGAACGGAAACTCACTGAATGCAATTATGTACTGAATGACTGCGCCTTGTGAGTATCCCAACATTGATATAAGCCTATCCGATACCCACGTCTTCAAATTGGCATCACCCATGTTGTCTGCATAAAATCGGATAACAATGTGAGGGCCTATGCATGTAATGCACAGGGTCTAGACAAGGCCAGGCATGAGCTGAACAACACCAAATACAAGGTTTCACCAATGCAGAGGTCACAAACACGGAAGGTAAACTAACAAACAATTCTGCGAACAGCCAGCTACCAATTAGGTTAAACTTGGCAAACACCTCTACTTAAGCAAACATATCAACTTCCGACGCATAGATTGAGCAAGGCGGACAAAAACCAATTTCAGTCTCCTAACAAGGCTGAATGCCTTGGATAGAGCAAGGCAGCTCTTGCGCACAATTTGCGCCGGTGGGGAACGGCTTTCTTTATGCGGGATAGAAATCACAAATTCGATTTCTCAACCGCGCGAAGGCTTAGACCGTACTAAGAGGAGGAACAGTGAGAAAGCCTATAACCCCTAAAACCATATTTAAAACCACAAAGAAGGGCGGAACCAGAATAAATGCATCGTACCAGCTTCTGCCTTGACCAATGCCTTCTTCCTCTTCAGCGGGTACTACTGCTTCTGAAAGTTGCTGGACGCAATAATTCTGATTTCGGAGACCTTTTTCAGTGGACAAGTTTGGTCGGAGCAGTTCTTTGCTTTTCGCCGCCTTCGAGATCGTCGCCGACGGGGAGTAGGGGTTTGGTAATCTTTCCCTCTTGAATTTGGATCAAGATAGGGTGCATAACCATGGTTATGCACCTATCAATAACCAAATCTGGACCCTTCATTTAGAAAATTCAGATCTAAGGATGGAGAATTAAATGCTATTTTTATTTTGACTAGCTTTCTTAATTGACTTATATCTTTTTCGTTTTAACTCGGATTTTAATTTTTTTTGCACAGATGGAACTAGTTCACCGTGCTCTACAAAATGAGATCAATTTTCAATATTTTTTTAGGAAAAAAAATTCTGGCCTCTCGGTACCAACTGCATACCATATGGTATCTTCTTCGTTTTTAATTCGTTTTTGAAAACGTTTGCACAGCATGGATGAGTTCATCATGATCTACTGGATCTACAAATTTCTGGGTGAACAAATTACAGGACCACACAATACCACACAATACCACCCTGGTACGGGGGTGGTAGTGTATGGTATCTTCTTCGTTTTTAATTCGTTTTTGAAAACGTTTGCACAGAAGGGACGAGTTCATCATGATCTATTGGATCTACAAATTTCTGGGTGAACAAATTACAGGACCAAAAAATACCATACAATACCACCCTGGTACGGGGTGGTATTGTGTGGTATACAATGTTAAAAGTCGTAAATTATAATTAATTTACTTCTACTATCATGTATTCAACCATCCTACAATATTGCTTTGTTCATACCACCATGGTACGTTTTTCAAAACATATGTATGCTTTTATTTCAATACCAGTCAATACCATATGGTATAGGCTGGTAAAAAATGGCTCAATTTTTTTTGTTCGAAAAATATATTAAAGTGGATATCATTTTGAAGAGCACAATTAATCTGATCTAACTGTGCAAAAAAAATTAAATTTCGACTTAAAATGAGCGAGAAATCGTCCGTCAAAGATTAAAGAGGGAAAAATTAAAGGCTTTCCATGAGAAAGAGGATGCTGATGTCATGCTGATGTGGACGGGTTACTCATGGTTACTCACACAAGGTTACTGACCTGATCCATTGAAACAAGGTGGTACCGACTTACAGCCTGAATTCGCAATTTCCGATTAAATGCGGCAGGGGAGCCTCCATCTACATGGAAAATAAGGCGGACCGTATTTGGCAAAAGGTTGTCAAACCGGTTTAATATCGGTTGGGAAGTGTATGGTTCGACCAGAGATACAATTGATTTACCAATTTATATTGGATTTAGCATAATATGCAGGGAAGAGGAAAAAAAAATTAGACTTTAGAGATATATAATATATTTGAAGATAATCCTCTAACATCTACATCCATATTTATATAATATAATATACAATCAAAATAAAATTAAAGTACAATGTTTAACGCTAACATCCAAACGTTTATACTTGAACCAACAAATAACATAAATATCTAAACATTCATACTTGAATCGGCAAATAACATCAACATTTAACTTTCAAATTAAAGAAACAAATCAAAAAAATTTATCAATTAAATTCACCAAAACGACGTCATTTTTTTATGGTCAGAAATCAATTATGTCAGTCATACCAAAGACATTCCAACCACATTTGTAACTGATATCGATTGTATCGGGGCATTCCGCCCAATTATGTAATCAACCACATAATAAGCACACATTACCAACTACTCAGCCTATATATATACCCATATATAGAGACGTCTGGTATGCTCCAGATGATCTGACCGTTCGATTTACATGGATTAGCTCCGGCCAATCTCAACGGTCAATTATTCTTTTCTCTTAAATTGAACTTTGGGTTTGGGATTAGAAAATCGGAGCCTGGGGTTTATCCATTTGAGGTTAGAGTATAGTATAATATCCCAAACTCAGTTTAATTCATGGTCTAAATTTAGGTAACCAGTTCGCGGAGCGAGAGCGGGAGCGGGAGCGGGAGCGAGAGCGCGAGAGCGTCTATTTTTGAAGAACTCAATATCGAGAGCGTTAAGAGAGCGTTAATATTATATAATTTTTAATAAATATATTAAATATAATTCTTAAAATATAGTCAATATCAAATTTATACTAGTTAAACTTGTTAACAAGATTATATTAAATATTATATAAAGATAACATATGTTACCGCTTACTAAATTAGCATAAGCCTAATTTTTTTTTTTCTTCCAAAAAGTGGTTTAAGAAACTACAAATTAAGGAGTGGACTCCAATTGATTAAAAAGTAAAAACTAGAAATCCTTCTCTTTCCACGCAAACAGCTCAACCACCACTCTCCACCACAAATCCCTTATCTATTCCTCTTGTGTCAGAAATCACTTCATCTTCTGGCATACTCCTTTTCGCTCCAAGCAAAGACCATTCACCAAAATTTTCTTCCTCTGCTTCCAATCTTTGCTTGATCGCATATTCATCTCCTGGCTTGTTCTTTTCATGTTCTCTGCCTTCAATTTGCGAGTGAGAGATCTTATTTAGAAGGAGAAAAAGAGCGCATCAATCATTCAATGGGTACAACTACTCTCTCCCGCGACGAGACTGTGCCTTTCTTCGTCTTCCTCGGAGCCGCATCCGCCTCTTCTCATATAATTTTTTGAACCTTATGATTCCTACTTTTCGATTTAATTACGGTAGATCTAGGAGGATTAATCTTGGATCCGCGGTTGGCTGTGTAATTTATAGTTGCATGAATAGGAGCTACCTATGGACGGTGGAGAGTGGGTTCGGAGTGGCGTCGATGGAGTGATGAGGCCAGAGCTGGTGATGAAATTCATTGTTCTGGACTTCTGGTGGCGTCAGTCTTCTGGGTTCGAGGATAAATCGCGCTCCCAAAATCCCAATACGCGCTCTCACCAAAAGTAGTTCGCGAATTTTTCGTGAACTCCCCAAAATTCGCGTTTCGGCGTTCTGGAGCGGGAACGTGGACAACATAATGGCGAATTGGGTGACCTAAGTCTAAATAGAGATATCTCACTATAGTACATGAAACATAGTATGTTCCAGGAGCACACGAGTCTGACCCATATATATCTATTTATCTACAAAATATATAAAGGGATTTCTCAGTAGAAGTATAGAACTCTTATCCACACCAGCCTCTCCGATTTCCCCGCATCTTTCGATGTTTATTTTTTGGTTAAATACACTTGTATATCCAAAACTTTCACGGTTGTGCCAATAATATCCAAATTTTCCGAAATACCACTTATATCCAATTCCTTCACATTCTTTAAAGGTGTTTTTGGATATACAAGTGTATTTAACCAAAAATATATTGGAAAATGGATAGATTTGGCAAAGAACAACTTTAAAACATGGATATAAGTGGTATTCCGGGAAATTTGGATATTATTGGCACAACCGTAAAAGTTTTGGATATACAAGTGTATTAAACCTTATTTTTTCCTTTTTTCTTTAATTTTTTCAGCTCAATCGTTTCTTTATATGGGTGATTTACATAAATATTGTAAAAATTTAAAATATTACCACATATATAGTGGTAAAAACCTATTTACAAGGATATTATGATGGGGAGGTCACGCGCCTACTAAGCGAAAGTGGGGTAATTTAGCTCAGCTTGTCAGGTGCAGCTGATTTCTATTCTGACAAAAGACTTACAACTAAGTTTCATAGCTTTGGGTCAGCTATTCCAGTCACGATTTTCCTACCTCCAGAGGGAAAGGTCCTCCCTTTTTGGCCGGTTGTGGGCGAGGAGGGATTAGAAACCCCAACATTGTGATTCATAGCCACATCCCCCATGCTCTAATCCCCTTTTTATTCATTTGATAACCAGAGTCATTATGTGATAAATGATCACTATGAGTGAGACTCGATATAATTTGATCAATCTTTTTTTTTTTTTGTTGTCGTTAAGGTCGAAAAGTAAATAAATTAAGCTCGGCTCGTGAGGTAACGCGAGCATGACCACGAAAGGCAACGACGACGACAATCTCTCTAGCATGACCATCACTTGCTCTTCCGATGACGATTCTAGTGGCAAGGAGTAAGCCTTCGCTGGAGGGTCTATTTGGTCGTGGAGGTAGACGAAAAAGAAAGGATGTGTGGTCTTATACATACTAAGAAATTATTTCATCCAACTCGCGCGAGCTGAGCTAAATTTATTTACTTTTCGCTCATCTCGCGTGCCACCTCATTAGCTGAGCTAAATTTATTTATTTTTCGCTCAGCTTGCACATTGTCGCGACCTGAGCTAAACTATACAACTTTCGCTCAGTATGCACGTGACTGCAAATTTTCGCTTCCCAATCACAGTATCCTTGTGAATACTTTTTTACAATTTATCTGTGATCATATTTTTATTTTATTTTTACAATATATATGTAAATCATCCTCCTTTCTATCCTAATTTTTCTTTTTTTTAGTGGATCACGTTAGTAATTTTAGGGTGAGTAACCATGAGTAACCCGTCCACATCAGCATGATATCAACATCCCTCTCTCTATCATGGAAAGCCTTTTATCTTTTCCCCTTTAATCTTTAACGGACGATTTCTCTCTCGTTTTAAATCAGAATTTAATTTTTTTTGCAAAGATAAATCAGATTAATTGTGCTCTTTAAAATGATTTCCACTTTGATATATTTTTAGAACAAAAAAAACTGAGACATTTTTTACCAGTTAATACCATATGGTATTAAATAGGAGCATACCATATGGTAAGAAAGTGTACCATGATGGTATGAACATACCAAAACTATAGGAAGGTTGAATACATGACAGTAGGAGTATACTAACTGTCATTTACTACTTTCATCATT